GAGACACGCTGACAAAGCCAGCTTACGAGAACCATAGAATGCAAGAAGTATATTTCTTCTTTCATTTTTTCTAGGTGCTCCTTCAGGTCCTGTAGCCAGGGCATTTTTTCCCCCTCTGGGACTTTACCTGAACATGTAGGGCCTCATCTTCTCTGAGGTTTATCTCTGGGCATCTCTCAAATAAAGGTACTTCATTATAGTGGTCAGAGTTTTCCTTGGTTTGCTGAGAGTGGGGGCCTGCTTGTGAAACAAGCTCTGGAACTGAAAGGTGTGAGGAGGGCTTGCTGGGTTCTGAATATGGTGAATGGGTCAGATTGTGTGCCTTCTTTAAAAAACTCCTGGAGTCCAGGGACTCCTCTTGTCACTGGGCTCCAGGTTCTCTCCCTGCTGCAGTCCCTATTTGAATTGTCACATGTCCGGTTTGTTCCAATGGGATAATATATTCTCTCAGTTAATCTCATCAGAATGTCCCCGTTAGGGGCCATATATCTCTCCAAGTTAGTAGAGATCTACTCCTAAATACTATCAGTCAGGAACAAATAGCCCTGTAGCTGTTTCCTTGACCTTAAAGTTTTTTTTTCTTTCTGGGAAGATATTCCCTCCAAATTCATAGTATTCAGGTTCATTTGTTCCTTCCACAACCCCAGTAGCTAAAATAACTTCATATAGTCAAGTCCAAGACTCAATATTCCTATATCTATGGGAGACATTGAGAAATTTTGGCTCTCCCATTTCTCCTTCAAAGCTATTAAAGCTAAAGGAACCCTAGCTGTATTTTCCTTGGAGCCTACAGACCCTGAAACAGATCTGGAATCATTATTGTAGTTTGATATTAATTAGATATCAAAAATATTGACTGGTTAAATTCAAATTTACATATCCACAAACCATAAGAATGAGAATGATCACTTTGACTCTTAGAAATAAAGAACTTTGCCAATTATTTGTTTCTATCAAAGAGAAACATTTTCACTACAAAGTAGAGCTTCTTAAGGTGAAGGCTTATGAATGCTTAATTACTTTAAGAGCAAAATGCAAAATAAACACATTTAAAATCTTAAGACTTTCAGTCTTAGTGTTTGCTTATTTTAAGCAAGAACTTTAGGATGAGATTGAAAACTTTCATAAAAATGTTTGCAGAGGAAATATTATAGAATCTTCAAAAAGTTGCATTTCTCAATTTTGAAGGGCAGAAAAAGGAAACTGGCCTATCAACAACTTGATGCCAAGTTTGAAATTACCTTCATGTCATATTAGTGCTGTGATTGCTGTTGCTCTGTAGATGACTTTTTAATTGGATTCTTGAGTTGATGATACTGTGTTCTCACCAGAAACCTATCATTGTAGTACACAGATAAAATACAATTTGGAGGTTGCTAAAATAAATGACATAGCTCAACTGTAAAAAAAAGAAAGAAAAAAAAGTTGTGAATTACATATGAACAAGTAGACTTTCTAGCTTACTACATTACCATTTATATTAAGCAAGCTTACAATTTTTTTTTCTCATGTAAAGCACAAAACAAAAAAGCCTAAAGGAATATTGCTGAGTTATAATTTAGTCTCATGCTTCCCCAGTCAAATGCGATGGTATGGTAGGTGCCTTTTTGCTATGACTTTTTGCTAACCTTAAGAAATGCAAAATTCTAACTATATCACAAGTAACCTTATATGCCATCTTTGAAACAAAGGTTTAAGATAAATCCTGGCTCTGATACATACTAGACTGCGTGATCCTTGTCAAGTTAACTTAATCACTGTTCTAGGCAACTCTCCAAGACTTGCAGAGAAGGCAGGAACTTCGTTGGCCAAGGGAGTTCCTTCACCCAGTTCTTTAAACTGTTGAAATCACAAGTCCAGTCCCTGCTAGCCCTATTTCAAGCATCTCAATCCAGAAATGCTCACTTTTCACTTTTTTTACACCAGACCTGTAATTTCATCAACGTGGGGGGTTCTCTACGAGGAAACAACCTCTACCAATGCAGAACAGCTCCTGCTCGACAGCAGGGAGAAATTATTGCTGGTAGCATAGAGAGGCTGTTACTTCCCAGTACGTGCCAGAGACTGAATTTGAACCCAGATCATCCTGATGCCCTCTCTTTATAGATCATACAACATACTGCCTCTCCAGATAGAGCAGTGATTTGGGTTCATGGTATAAATATAATCTTTGGAATAAACTACTTTTGTAAAGGGGCTTCTAACATGCTTTAGTGTAAGACAATTTAGAAAAAGAAAATCACTAATACTATTTAGAAATTACAACTCCTGCTTGACCCAAGTTCTGCTCATGTAAACTATATAGGAAAATTTCTCCATCTTTAAAATAAGTAGAATTTTACTTCATTTAAAAACGATCTGGGGATTCATTCACCTAAATAAATTCCAAAGTAGTTGGCACAAAAGGAATCTCCAACACATGCCTTATTCCTGAACTGTTTTTATTTTTTGAGGCTGGGTCTCCTCTTTCCCAGGGTAGAAGTGCAGCAGCCACTCATAGACCCTTTCCTAATACTGTTCAGCACCAGAGTTTTGACCTTTTCTGATGTGTCAACCTGGACCAGTTTTTCCCTTCTTGACTATCCTGGTAGCCCCTGGGCTCAAATCTCACCATATTAATATCAGATTTAGTGTGGACACTTGATTGGCTTTCGCCCTACTTCATTCAGCTTAAGACTCCCAAGCTCAAGGAATCCATCAGCCTCAGTCTTTTGGCACTTTGGCCTAAACTGAGTTTTTAAGAAGGTCCCTATAATGAAATCATTGTGCTTCTTCATGCTTTGTATATATAATTATTCGTGGGGCACACAAGGGGGAGGGAAGGTATGGAGAGGAAAAGGGATCCCACTCCAATCCAAATGTCACTGGGTTTATGTGCAAGTAACACTTACCCCAAGGGAAAAAAAAAGTCAATTATTTACTAGAGCAGCTAAACTACTAAAGTCTTGTTCCCAGAATGAAAGTGACCATGTATCCTTCAAGAATGAAACTAGAACATATGCTCTTGGCATACCCTACGCTTGCTGGAATGGCTCTGACCTATGTCATACGACATTTGTAATCCAAGGACCAGCCTAGCTAAGTGCAGAGGTACCTGTTAGTATTCAGCACATGATTAATAGTTTTTCATTGATTCATTCACTGGATAAGTTTTGTAATCCACAAAGCAGATGTGGAAGGGCTGTGATCTATGTAGCTGGAAGGCAAACTCAGGTGAAATTATAGCTCCAATAAAGCAGATTCTGAAGGTAGTCTTTTTTATTTTTTTGCTATCTCGATATAATTGGTTTCCTTTTCAATCCTGTGGGTTTTACGTATTTTAGAAACATTCTGAGAAGGGGCACGTAGATCTTCGCTAACTTTTTAAAATATTCAATAAGGCCTATATGAGCTTATTAAGCAAAATATCCCTAGGACAATTCTTTGGCTTGCCAAAAAGAAAAAAAAGGGGCAGCTAGGTGGCGCAGTGGATACAGCACCGGCCCTGAAGTCAGGAGGACCTGAGTTCAAATCCGGCCTCAGACCAAACACTTGACACTAGCTGTGTGACCCTGGGCAAGTCACTTAACCCCAACTGCCTAAAAGTTTAAAAAAAAAACCAAAAAGAAAAAAAAGTGATAATAAAGGAAGCATTTTTAAAACTTTCTTAAAGTTGATTGTTCTTAAAATTTATTTAGTTTTTCATTTGGAACTTGGAAACTCCACTTCATAAAGTTTTAAATAGTGGTGAGGCTCCCAGATAACTCTCCTAAAGCTAAAAGGCAGAGAAGTAGAGTGCTAGATTTGGGGTCGGAGGACCTGGGTTCAAATCCTATGCCTGGCATACCTTAACCTCTTGGTAAACTTAGGGAAGTCACTAAATCCGTTTCCATTAACACATTTTTAAAATGAGGAGGCTGCATGTGTGGTGGTACATGTCTACAACTCCAGCTACTGGGAAAAGTAAGTAAAGCTGGTGGATCTCTTGAGTTCTCAAGTTCTGAGCTGCCAGGGGATATTCAGTTTGAGGATCTGCACTAAATTATCAATATGGTAAGCCTCTGAGAGCCAGCTGGCCACCTCAATGCCTCAGGAAGGGACAAAGTGATTAAGTCAAAAAGAAAGCAGAAGTGCAACAAAGACTGTGAGTGGCCACAACACTTCTAACCTGGGAGATAAAAAAATAATTAAGGAGACAAACCCCCCCGCCCCCTAAAATAAGAGAGTTCCATTTAACCTGCTTCCAGCTCTAGACTTATGATCCAAAACATAATTAAAATACTATGCATTAGTAAAGAAAGTGTAGAAAATCTATTATGATACTGGTAATTTGAAAAAAAAGTCATTTCTCAATGTACTTTTAACAATAGTTAAGGGGAAAGTTCTAATCAAAAGAAAATGAAGTGATTGATAGAATCTTCTCATGATTATGAGATAAGTCTGGCTACTTTCAAAAGCTTTAGAAGTTGCTTTATAATTTCATTGTCATTTTTTCCCTTCCCCAAAACATACATGTACCACCAGCCTCAACCTGGGTTAGCAACCCTAACAAGGATTGGGGCTATTTCAGTTTTGTTTCACAAAAGGAAAAGAAGTGAGGAAGGGGAATATTCTGAGGGAGATAAATCTGAAAAAAAAATTAGATGTCTATGTATGTGTGAAAAATACTACCTAAGGGGGAATTACATGATCTGTAAGCAGTTAAAAAAGAAAAGTAGGCAATATGAATATGTTTCATAGGAAAAGCAGAGCTGAAAAAAATGTTGGCTCATTTCCCACACTGAAAGAGTGAAATTACTCATATAATAAGGGTGGAGAAAAATAGTATATCAAGGTGCAGAGAGATTGAAAGTTATCTGTATCTCATCAGGACCTAACTTTTCTTCAATCTTTCTTTTCCCATCATTTGGTATTGCTAAAAAATAGTCACCATGTGGCAGCACTGGAGAAGGGGAAAAACTTCACTAAAGAACAGTTTTCAGGAAAATTTTATTTCAAAAATTCTCAAAATATAAAAATAACAAACATGAATATTTAACAAGCAAAACAAATTCAGCTATAAATAACAAAACCACTGACAAAACCAAACAATACTGTATTGTAAGCAAATAATATTAGTATTCTAGTTCAAGTTTTTATCACTACTTTTTAATACAACTCTTCCTCCCTTCCCCTACCCCCCCCCCCAACAACAACAAAAAAGCTGGTACAGCTTAACCAATTACTTTTGCTCTGCTCAAAGAGTAGGGAATATTTTCCCATGCCAGGAGACTTTCTTGAAATGGGACATTCAGGAGTACAGAATTCATCAATCCACAGACACTGAGTTGGGACTTTTAATTAAACAAAAAGCATGAAAAAATTTGTGTCAAATATTTTAACAAACTACAGTTTAGGATTATGAACACCATTAAGTTTGACATCCATAATGTTCTACTGATCCGTAAGAATGATTTATGAAAATATTCTTTGCAAGGTTTTGAATTGAGAATTCTTAACAAAAAAAAAAAAAACCACAAAACCCAACAACATATTAATGAATTTCTTACAACCCTCTGGTCCATGTTTTTTTAAAAATATGTACTCAAGAACTACCACTGCATGAAGTAATAGCTGCATAGAATGCTGAGTTACATAATAGTTTGGAGAAAAATAAACATTAGTACTAATGTACTGTAAGGAGGTTCAGGCGTGGAAATATTATTCAATTTGGAATCAGACCAGGATTAACACCCCTTACATCTCCTAGAAAATTTAACACAGGATCTAATGACAAACTAAAGTCTTTTTTGAGAAGGCAGGAACACAATCAAAAAGAAGAAATTTCCTGTTATTTTTGCATTATTACATTAGTCCCTTTACTGGGTGTTCACAAGGCTGAAAACTTTACCCAATTTACAAACTGAGTAGTTATATAAAATATTGTTTTAAAAGGATCAAAGAGCATGCTGAAGTAAATGAGTGATGTAATTTGAGTCAAAACAAATGTGGGAGGGTTGTTTGTAGCACCAACAAAATTTTTCTGACATTTGTGTGGAAGCCTCACTTGTGGACTAATAATTATCTTGCAAGCAAGACAGAAGTTATTCAGAAATCTACAGTTTTGCATTTTGTGAGAATATTTTGAAATTCACTATGTAAAAATGTAAACAGAAATACATAGCACAGCTACAGGAGCTAAAAGTGTGAAACACATTAAATTTTTTTAAAAAAAAGACTTCTATGACTCAGTCACGTGGAGATGAAATACTTCAATCAAGTGATTCTGTGCAGTTATCTACACAGTTTTATGAGAATCCTGTTGAACTATATTGATAAAAGCAAATCCTCATCCTTTGACAATATTGTTGCTTTTCAATAATTAGGTATAGCTAAAACTAGTGACCTTTTAGTAACAAGAAACACTGATCATAATGAAAATTCCCAGCTTAAAAGCCCAAAATGGAATGGAAAGCAAACAATCAGAATTATCTGGTTCCTGGTTGTGTCCAAATTTTTATTTAGAATAAAACCTCTAAAGCACCAGCTATCTTGCCTAAACTGCGTAAGTAATCTATGAGTTACGGACTATCTGCTGATTCACAAATGTAGGCTAAGTCAATGGCTATAATTAAAATTCACTTGATGGCCATCTAAAATAGGCACTTTATTTATTAGTCTCTTAACCTAAATATATCATGTTTTCCACTATTGCAAATCAGTATTAAGTACTCATCCACATTATGACAAATATTTTCAAAATTCTCATTTTCTATATTTATGCATTTTTTAAATTAGGCAATAAGACGACAAAAACCTGAGTGTTTTCCTAAGCAGTCTTTGTGTAGCAAGTGAATTAGAAAACAGCATGGTAACAGGAATTGGAAAATCATTTGATTTTTCTCTCTCTAACATCCTGATATGTGCAGCTCCCATCCTTTAACATATTTATAGAAGTATTTACCTAGGATCACTATTCACAAGTTATACTTTGAAAACATTCTGAGGTTGAGACTTTAAATTGAGATTTTATACAAGTATACTATATTACTTTAATCTAAAAAAAAAGCCAAAATAATATTAAAACCACATTCCTTCTAAAAACTATACAAAATGTACACTTTTAGAAACAGAAGAGGCATATAATGTTTAAAAAAAACCCATTACTTCACTTAGCATCTGCTGGGATTCAGTCTTTAATGAAAACCCCTCAAGTACACACACAGATGCTAATCTGACACTTCAAAATACTTATGATTCCCTAGGTTTTAACATGTCCCTTCAAATGACAGTGAAGTTACTCTCTGTTCTGAAGGATTAATGACTCAGAAACAACTGTCCAGATAAGCTAGTTTGGCATTTTTAGAAGAAGTTTGTCAAGGTATTAAACAAAATCTTGATGGCCAGTCACTACCCTATTTCCAGAAACAGATCCCATTAAACAGAGAAAACTTAAAATCCAAACCAATTCCATACCAACTGCCACTTTAAGCTTTTTTGATTTTCGTTATTCCCATTTGCTCAGAAAAAAAGAATGGCTTTGCCAACATATTTCATAAACACAGCTCTTTCCAACTTGACTGATGTTTAACATATCTGATGTTAAGAAATTTAAAGTTAAAAGTTTTCCCTTATATGTTTGCAATAATAGCAACCTGATTTTAAAAGAAGAACATAAATATCCAAACTGATTGTTATTCAAAGATAATGTTTACCAATGACAAAACTTCAGATACAAACTCAGGGGATAAACAGGTGTAGTCTTTCATACTACCAAAGAACTAAAGCTAATATGCACCAAAACCAAACATTAATTCAAGCTAACAGGAGACAAAGCATACAATGGTATCACATCATATTATAATGGTCTTCTTCCAGACAGGAACGAGTCTTGCCAATGTAGCCTCTAAGCTAAAGTTCAGCCAATATTGATAGAACTCTGCTGGAGAAAAAGAAAACAATTAATCAATCCAGTAACAGAAAATACTTAAAAACTCCACATATATATATATATATACATATATATATATATGTATGTATGTACGTATGTATGTGTGTGTGTATGTTTATATACAAATAATTGTAAAAGCCCAACCAAAACTGCAATGCAAACTAAACAAAGTTTAGGATAAAGAGAACTACTTGGGGCAAAAGTGGTTTTAAAACTCTCACTGCATCATATTGCACAAGATATAAGCTTCAAAGACAAAAAGGAACAATACTAAAATGCTATATTAAAATTCAAATTTTAAAAAATCTAGCCAATGTTATGAATTGGTAAGAAATACAGAAGAGGGGATAGACCTAAATTTTAAAAATGTAACAAAATTAACATTCTAACCAACAAAATAAGCCAAACAAACTCATGTCATATAATCTTTTAAGTAAAAATTACCTTAGAAATACATTTAGTACAATTTCCTAGCTATTACATGAACGAATCACCTCTACAGCCTTGATAAATAAGCAAGCTATGCTTGAGAGCAGCTTTACAAGACAGCTCATCCCAATTTTTAAAAAGCTCTAATTCAAAGAAAGTTATTCATATTAACGACAATCTACCTTCCTCTCCTAAATTCTACCAATTGGTCTAGGTTTTGTCTACCGGAGAAACCCCTTAGACACTATACCACATTAGTTCTTTAATTATCTGATGATTATACTCTAAACACCTAATTTCTCTTCTCCAGGTAAATAATATACCCAACTCCATGAAGTAACCCCCTTGATAATAGTATTAATAACTCACATTTATTTAGCACTTTAAGGTTTACAAAGCCCTGATATGGGTTGGACTCTCCTCTTGATTTTGGTCACTCTCCTGTGGAAACACTCCAGTTTGTCAAAATCTTTAAAATGAAGTGGTCAGAACTATGTAACAGTGTGACTGTTAACATTACAGACCCTAATTCTAATATAACCTAAGAAAAGTTACGTTAAACCCATGCATAATGCACATGCAACCAACTAAAATCCCAAGCTTATTTCACATGGATTACTTTCTACCCATCTCTTCCCATTCTGTGCATTTTTAAAAATAGAAATGTTAGACTTTACATTAATTCCTATTTGATTTCAAAATTAAATTCAACCCACCCTTCTAGCCTGAATTCTTTTTGAAAACTGTCACTCACTGAATTACTTCTTTCTCTAAGTTTTGATGTTATCTTATCTCCATTAGAATTAGAGGAAGAAATCACTCAAAAATTCTCCAAGTTTATTTTAAAATCTATGTATGCAATGTTGACTAATAACAAAAATGAAACTGGTTTTCATGATAAGTTGCTCCATAAAATTGCTCTGCTTTATAAACATATTGTATAAAATAAAAGCCTACGCAGGAAAAGTAAAGCAGAATAGTCAGAAAACCAAGAGGAAATGTAATTTGTGAGATTTAGGAAAAGAGGGCAAATGTAGTGAGAAATAACAATTAATTAGAATAGGAAAAAATGAATTGTCTAAAGGAAAAAAGATACAATTGAGTCAGGACAAATCAAAGCAAGCATAAAAAAAAATCAATGAACTGCAAGAAAATTATTTATCAAAATAGTAACTAAAACTGCTATTTATAAGGATGATTTTTTTTTTCCTTAAATTAGGGCACTTGGCCACGTTGATTTAGATCATATTCATTTGTATCATGTTACTTTCAAGAGGCTGCTTGTTTGTGTCAACATTCTGAAAGAACTCAGATTTTCTGCAGGTCTTTGGTTCACATTCCTAAACTAGTCTACACAGGCAAATCCATGATTTATGTGGTTACCTGTTGATTTAATAAGCTTCTGTAATGTCATGGGAGGGGGGGCTGAGATAGAAGGAGTAAGGAGCTAAGGGAGGGTGGGTGGTTTCACATAAATCAAGTTGCAAATAATTGTCTTATTGTCAACATAAGGCTGTTACATCTTAGGAAGGGGAAGAAGGAACCATGAATTAACTGGTAGTTAGCCAGAATTTATTTTTTTTTAGATCAATTCTTTCCTTTATTCAACACCTTAGAAATGCTTCTGGTAATAAGGAGACGGATAAGGCTCCTGTAATATGCTAGGAAATCATAACATTATGACAAACAATATCTAAGTCTCTATTACTATTCAGAATAAAACTGAAAAGAATATTTTATCTGAATTTCTGATAATAGAAAATTTCATTTTAACAAGATCCAATAACTTTTAATATGATGAATCATCACCTAGAAATTGGAAAGGTTTTCCTTTCAATATTAACAGCAATCTCCCACTATCAGAAGAATGTTATTGTACATATGTATTATATATTCTTGATGTGGAAGGCAACAAATATTTAAAGAAGAGGTAACAACATGGTAATGGAGAAAAAAGCAAAGGACTTGAAATCAGCTTCCAGGCTAACTTAGTAAATGTGTTTAAGTCATTTAAACTGAATGTCTGTTCGCTTATCTGCAAAGGGAGAATACTATTAGGGTTATATACCTCAAAGTTACTATGAAAGAAGCAATCTGTAAACTGTAAATCACTATAAATATGCTATTACTATTATTACAACTGCTTTTAAAAAGCATATTATTGCTATTATTATTTTAAAGAAATTGAAAAAAGGGATATAAGATAAAAATATTTAAAGTGTTATAACCAATTATCATGAGGTAATTCCAATTAATCTTTCAAAAAAATTTCCCAGTAAAAAATGGGTTCAAATCTTTTGTAAGCAACTCAAACTATAACTTCTTTTACATCTCTAATATCCATAACCACAGAAACAAACCCTACTATCAAATTAGAAAAAGCCAGCTTTTGACTCAGGAGTCCAAAGTCATGGGACTCAAGGCTTCTTCCATCCCTATAAGCCATATGATCTTAGGCAAATGAATCTATCAATTTCATTTTCATCAACTTTAAAACGGGCATAATAAATTACCTACCTCACAGACACTGAGGTATAAGGATTATTTTAAGTTTATGCATGTGTGTGTATATGTATGTATATATGTATGTATGTATGTAGGTATGTATGTGTATATATGTAAATATCTCATACTAAAACTATAATGTACTATACAATAGTGCTGGCTATAATCACACAATGGGCAATAAAGAGGTTATATGGTAAGCATAAGCATGAATAAGAATCTTCCAATAACTTGAGTAAAGAGTGTTGTTAGGGGAACATAAAAGCAAAAGAGATGATATGTAGTCATGTGGCTGGGTTAAGGAATCATTTGTAAGTGTTCTATAGATTGATTACTTGACCATGTCAGGGAAAAGTACACAAAAGCTTTCCAGCACATTACTTTACGTGAAGAGAACTCATAACAGAACATGAACAAAAGTTTCACAGGATGGCTGGGTATGGATAAGCTGCCATCTGTATCTGTGGAGGTACATCTACATCAGTGCAACCACAGATAGGCTACATGCTACAGCATAAGACAAAAGAATTTGTTGCAAACTCTGTAGGGTCACAAACATGATTATAGTTTTGGGTAGTATATGATAAAGGGAAACACTAAGGTAACTGGGTCTATACAGCCTAAAGAACTGAAATATTCTTTGTATCTGTAAAACAATATTGATGATATTGATGTATATGTTGTAATAGAGGCTTTCAGTACTTAATTTGGGGAGTGAGTAGTCAGTACTAATCTATATTCTGTAGGTGTACTGCAAATTTGTAGACAGCTCAAATCATAATACTTTTACTACCTACATTATAGAGTTGTGAAGGAAGTGTAAACTTTAAATCAATATAAAAATGTGGAATTTAGAAAGCTTTTCCTAAAGATGTCAAGAGATATTATTTAAGTTTTATGACCAAATATAAGCTGTTTCTTCCAAAGATGAGCCAACATGGACCCCTTCACCCCCCAAAAAAGATTTCAGGATAGTTTGTTTTCAAGAACTTTTTGATTATTAATGGTCATAAAATACATAATGGTATAAAATGATTGTATAGTCACCTCATGACAATTTCTAGGACTGTTTCAATATAGTTCTCACTAAAGTTAGGGAGACATAACTAGATAACCACTTTTTTCATCATTATTTCTATGAATGTAAAAATCTTCACAACAGAGTTGTAACATTGGTACGATCTGAGAGAAAGATTCACAGTATCTAACAATATGCCTAACACATTTATACTACTTTAAAGTAAAATCCAGAACTCTCATGCACTGCACGTAGAGGTAATAGGTGTGAAACTGTGGGATATAATTTTTGAGGTCAAGAACTGACATGCACTCTGTTATACTCACTCATCACTCCATCCATCCATCCATCCATCCATCCATCCATCCATCCATCCATCCATCCATCAAAATAAAAATCTTCATAACAGGTCTCATTTAAATTACTACTTACAGTTAAAAACACATTTACACATATCTCTTATGACCTTGGCCAACAAACCTGTGAGTTCTAAGTTATTATGCCCAAAGGAGAGTCAAAAAAAGTGAAGCTCAAATAAGTTAAATAACTTAAACAAATCTTTTGATTCGTTATACAATAACCTTCAAACCTTACTGGTCAATGAACTCAAAGCAAGAGGATACAAAAAGCACTTATAAACTTCAAGTTATTATATAATTTTAGACCAGGAAAATGAGTATTTTCTGTAGTTTATATAAATAAATACAAAAACCACTAACCAAAAATTCTTAAATTAATAAAGCCAAAATCACCAGGGATAATTAACTGGCTTTTAAAGCTAAAAGATTTATTTTGCTGTAGTACCTGTTTGGTGCAAAGAGAAGGAACTTGTGCCTCTGTCAATTTGGCATCTTTCATGACTACTAAAATTAAAAAAAAAAAAGAAAAAGAAAAAGAAAGAAAAAAGAACACACTTACCTAATGAACCAGAATAGCATAAGCATAGACTAGATAACAATGTTACGTATAACTATATCACAGATACATATATATGTATATATACGCACATGTATATACATATATATGTATATACACACATATATGTATATACATATACACATATGTGTGTATATACACACACATACATACATACATACATATATATATATATGAGATTTGGCAAGAAATATTAAACTAATTGAAATCTAAAGTTAGCATATGAAATTTGAAGTCAAAATGTTTAGCTAGATAGTACTGTTAATAAAATAACACGGAGACATCTATTGCAGTGTAAAAATGGGATGAGTAGTGGGAAAAGAGAAGAGTTGGGGTAAGTCAGGAAAAGGTGGCAGAGAGGAAAAGACAGGAACTGGCATATAATTCTAAAATTGCTGTTAAGCACCTTATGTAAAATATACTTTGAAGACTGAAAATTTTTAATGGTGTAGGTATCACTGCCACCAATGCCAATCACAACATCTGACTTATTAATAAACTGTTAATATGAGTTGGCTGAGGCTGAAAAAAATTTATTGCTCAGTAGCCAACATTCTAGGGATGAACTTCTCTGATCTTAGCTATGCTGGTCATCAAACAAAAGACAGTCTTTGAGAACTTAGGGGTGACTTCCTCAGCATAACAATAAGAAGGAAGTGAAATATACAAAATGACATTCACAGTAGGCATCAATGGATCTCAGGACACCTGGGATGGCATCTCTTCCATTTCTTATAATAGTCTTTTTTAATGAATAAGTTTCTTGAGAACTAACCTCCTGAAATGGCAAGAGCCAAAAAAAATTCTGAAGATAAAATAATCTCAGTTTAGGAGGAAGAAGGAATATTTATATCACTAAAAGGAAATAATGTAATAAGATTTTCTCCTTTCAGTTCAAACTACGTAAATTTGGATAATTGGATTCATTATGGCTACACAAAGAATGTTCTGAAGTAAGGATTTTGTAAAAGTCAAGGATCTTTATAAAGGTACAACAAATGTACACTATAAAAATTTGAGGTTGGTGTACTTACCAAACAATGTTTTCCTAAGTACTAATTTATAGTACATTTCTTTATTCATATATCTTCACATGGTCAAGTTTTCTTTCATATATCCAAAAAGTAATCTGATGGTTTTCTTATTCATCAAATTAGGTCTACTTGAAGTGTAGTTCCAAACTAATCAGCCTGTTTTTAAAGTTTTTTTTAATTTTAAGACATCTGTTGAAAATTTAAAGGATCAAACCAAACTGAAGTGGTATATATTTTAGGCATCAGATTGCACATTATTGTAAAGGTACCAATAAACTACTGTTATGAATAAATTAGTGATTATAGCTCCTTTTGTGAGTACTGGGGGAAAGGGGCAGTCACCATTTGGAATGGTCTTTTTTATTTTTTTTTCTTTTCTTTTCTTTTTTTTTTTAAATTAGGGAACATTGCCTTAGCTTTTTTTTTTTGTTATTGCTTTTTTCTTTTTCTTTTTTTTTAAGAGACCATTCCACTTTATTTTTTTCAAACATCTTAAAGTCATAAGGATTTATATGCAAAGCAGTCATACACCATTATCATTAAAACCCATTTGTAAAATACATACACAAGTTAAACAAAAGGCTAGTACATAGTAAAGCCTAAGCATACTACTATGCAATATTATGAATACATAACCTGAAAACTTTAGTACTATGTTATCTATTCATTTTTGGAAACATTCATTTTAGATTTTTAATGCAAATCTATTTGATACTTCGGAATAAAACAAAAATCTTCTAAGTTATAACAAGTATTGGTCATATATTTTTCAGACCTATTCATTAAATTACAAAGAACCCAAAGAATTCTGTAACGCTCAGTAGAAGTATGTAATAAAAACATTGCATATGTTTCTAATGTGATGTCTTTAGCAACTGTTTACTGAAATAAAACTCAAACAGCAATCTTTCAAAATACAGGACCAGAAGGTAGTTTCTTCTCTTTAGTCTATTTTTGAAATCCATCTTCATCACATTTTACCAAAAATTGTTTTTACAAATATGTAAAAGTACATTAGATAATACTAATGAAACACAAGTAGAGTCCTAGCATTTGCAGATCAATGATGAGTCAAATCATCTTCTCCAAGAACGAGATTCATTGTCCTCTTCCTCTTCATCATCATCTTGAAGCAATGAGTCATCCACCAAAGACTCTTCCTGAAACTTTAGGTTAAAATGTATTTAGGAACTTACCAAAACAAAGAGTGGGAAACTTTTATATATAGATATTTCTCAAAGAGTTGAATACAAAATGTATCTCATCTGACAGAAATGTCAAGCAACAACTGAGGGGAGAGCAACAACCTCAGCCCATGACACTAAAAACAACGGACAAATGAGATCCTATAGCCTATTGGTATATACACCTATATTGGTATGCATATAACGAGCAATAAACATAAAATCAGGTCTGTACATGCCATTACCATGCCTTTAATACCTTCCCCTCTCCTACCTAACCAAATGTTCCTGCCATCTTAAAAGCTTGCCCATCATGCTCTAGTAGTTTCTAATCATACAAGTAGCCTCTTCTAGCACTTGTGCACAACAGCTGTTAATGCATTTACATCCATTGCATGTACTTCCTGGGGCCTATTCCTTCATTAGTGGATACAAGCTTCTCAGACAGTATCTTTTTGTATTAATCCCTCTACTATTCACAACCCAAAAAAGCAATTAATATTGTAGGTTATTCTATATCTATGTAATATTCAATTCTTCAGGTGGGAAAGAAGTATACATCCTTTGGTATTGTGGGAAATGCACTAGGACTTGTAATCCAAGAACTGGAGCCTGGCCTAGGCTCTTACTTAATAGCCCTGAAACATTAGGCAAGTCATTGACCATCCGACACTTTGTTCCCTCACATATAAAATGGGAATAATAGTACTTGCCTCCTCACCTCACACAATTGTGAAGGAAGTACTTTGTAAACCTTAAAGTGCTATATAAATTGTATGCTATTATTAACATTATTATCAAATAATGCCAAATGACATATATTTGGTTTCAAAAAGCATTTCTGTATTTTGGTTTTAATAAGGACCTATCTGATCAACTGGGAATTCACATGATCCATCCCCCCCCCCAAAAAAAGATATCAAAGCTATACTACACAAAGATCTGAGTTGGATAAAAATGAGAAACTGTTAAGTTTCCCCAACAGGCCTCCCTTCCCATGCTTAACTTTTTCTCACAGAACAACTACATGCTGAAAAAAGAGAATCATCTTACACTGATATAAAGCAGCAAACTAAGCAGAACTGTCCTACCTTGGGTTTTTTGGCTTCAAAACAAGGATGTAGACTTTATGAAAGGGAAAGACAAATAAAGGGAAAGCTGGGATGTCACATGAACTAGGTATAGAGTTACTCTAAAACTACATTGATTGTTAAGAGTTCTTATTAACCAACGAGGAACGGCAAGAGAAAATGGAAAGAACTCCGATCTTCTTGTCAGTAGGCAAGGGTTTGAATCTAACTCTGGCACTTAACTAGCTATGTGTGCCTGAGCAAGTGATGTCACCTCTTTAGGCCTCAGTTTCCTCATCTTCTAAATAGGCATAATAGTATTTATTCTCTCTAATCACAGGGTGGTGGTCAGGAAGCACCGCAGAAACCATCAAGCATTTAGCACCACAAACACTGAGTTATGAGCATCCTCATATAATGCTGAGTTGCCTCTGGAGAACAGACTAGACACATGATTTTTGGCTGGTTATTTTCAAGTATCATAACTATTACTGCTTAGGTCCACCACAGGGCTCAGAATTAAGTTCTGAAGCTGACAGTCTACATGCCCCCTAAATCCCTCCCGCCCACACAATGACAAAAACAACCTACTTCCTCCTCATCAGGCTCAACTTCTTCTGCTTCAACAGCTGACATGTTAATTACAGGCTTATTCCAGGCCAGTTTAAGATCTTGCCCTTTGAAACGAGATCCATGAATTGCAGCCTAAAAAGAGTAAAAATGTTAGTTTAATACTTCTGAAAAAGAGTCTAATTCTTCTGACAATTAAAAACTTAAAATAAATATTATTAAATTGCAGTATTAGTGCTTGGTTTTGTTTTTCTGAATTTTTCAGGTGGCTTCAGCTCCCTGGGCCTAGTTAGGCTAGAAAACATCTATGATCCCTTTTGGTGCTATTCCATTTTTTAAAAACACTCAATCAATCAATCAATAAGCACTTATTAAGTGCCTACTATATGTCAGGCATGAAGACAAAAGTGAAGGTCTCAAGTGGGAGGTGATGCTTAAGATGGGCTCAAAGGAAACGGAAATCTAAGATCCAAAGATGAGAAAGAAGTGCCCTCTGAGCACAGGGGAATTGACCAAGTAAAGGTATAGAGGGCAGTACGGCTGAACCAGAGCAGAGAGAGTAAGTGTGTGTGTGCGTGTGCGTTTGTGTGTGTCTGTGTGTCTGTAAAGGCCCTTAAATGTAAAACAGAAGAGTTTACCTTTCATTTTATATGTAAAACAGGAGAATATGATAGTCAGATTTGAACTTTAGGAATACTACTCTGGAAGTATGTGGAAGATGGATTGGAGAAGAGACTGTGAAGAGGCAAGAAGATCTATTAAAGGAGATGATTTAAATATACAACCAAGAGGTAATGAAAGCCTGAATTACAGCACAGGCTGTGTGAGTAGAGAGAAAGGGATAAATATAAGAGACACAAGAAACAGAGTATAGACAAAAGACTTAGCAAGTGATTAGATAAGTGAGATGAGTGATTCATTCATCTTAATGAATGGACAGATTGTAGCTCTTGATAATAACTGGGAAATCTGTAGGAGGAATGGATTTGGGAAAACAGATGAATTCTGCTTCAGACACACAGATTTTGAGATCCTTATAGTATATCCAATCAAGATGTCCAACAGACAACTGCTAATGTTAGACTGGAACTTAGGAAAAGTTAGGGATTAATACTGATTGGATGGTGGCAGGTGGGTAGGTAGATAAAAGCTAAGTAGATAATATTAATAATTTATGCATGACACATATGGAAACTTACTATTCACAATCATACCATATGAAGTAAAGTGACCTTACTTTTTAGAGTATCAATTTGTATATAATGACAAAAGGCCATATTTAACATTAAATCGTTTGTATTCTTAATGTAATACTGTTCCTTTAAAAAAGCCTCAAATTTCACAAATATAAAATGCTTCGATGTTGAAAAAAAGAATTTAACTTTGCTGTTATAACCTGTTCTGAAAAATGTCCCATTTTCTGTAAAGTCTTCGTAATTGAAAACGTAAAAATTTTAACTTATGGGATATTCATGCCTTTCTAAGTACCAGCTGCAGTAAGTGGCTGCTTTGGAAATAGTATGTTCAAATTAAAGTAACATGAACTAGCATAAATCAGTGTTAGCAACATACCGAAATAACCGTCACAGTCACAAAAGATTTATAGTACAATCTCAAACTACAGCATAATGTGAAATGTAGAAACAATTACATGTTCAATGACATCTGCACATGAGTTGTGTGATATTAAAGTCCCCAGGTATAAATTTTAAATCTGTACATATAAATTTATGATAAATGTAAAAGATTCCATGCCTATTAAAATGCAGCTCTGGAGTTTATTTTTAGTCCAGAGTCTCATCACAATGTCACACAACTGGAATTTTAAGATGTACTTACAAATGACATTTAGGTCCAAGAACAACTTGTAATCTTTTGAAGAAATGACTACTACATAAAAATGCAACATTTTATAGTAAAGCATCTTACCTTATTTTCAGGCTAAAACATAAACTCTCATAAAACAAGCCTTTTTCCCCACTGGAAAAGCTAAAATAGTTATGACACTTTCTACAAAATAAACTCTCATAAAAATTCTTCCTATACTTGTTTACATTTTTCCACTTACATTTACTAACTTACATTTATGTAATATTTTAAAGTTTGCCAAGTTCTTTCCTCACAATTATCTCTATGACCATTTTATGAATTAAGAAACTTAGGCTCAGAATTTATGTGATTTGCCCTTAGTCACACAGCAAGCCAGTGTTGTAAGTGGGATTCGGATCTTGTCCTGACTCCAAGTCCAGTTCTCATCCCAACAAACCACACTACCTGTTATAAAAGTATAGCCAAAAATCTTTTTTTTTTAAACACCATATTATAATACATTGACTTTGCTATCACTGTCATGATTTGGGTTTCAAAGCATAAGGATGCCTAAAACTATGAAATAATCTTCCAAATAAGCTTCTAAGACGTTTCTTCTTTAAGCATGAATTTGATCCAAAATTTAATATGGTAAATATTATATTCACTTTAAGGTAAAATAGAATCATGCAACACAGTATTTATACTGCAAACCATTTTACATAAAAGTTTTGTTACTCAACACTTTTATTAGCTAAAAAGTTCTAAAAAAAAAACACTTTTCATATTCTCCCACTGAAATCTAACATCCAAGAAACTTCTACTGATTTTCAATCAGGGTACCAACATTTAGATAAATACTTAATTACAAAATTAGGCTTCTCTCTGATGATTCTGAACAGATCAACCTATAAAGAAAAATAAAGTATCTCCCAAAAATTTTACACACATAGAAAAGTAGACAGCTTTAAAAGTCCACATGAAATTACATGTTACTTTAAAATAAAGCTTAAATGGAAATAAAAACTAGAAAATCTCTCTCCCCCCTAAAAAACAAAATGAAATGTAAAAGTGTTTTTTACTACAGGGTTAAGGCAGTGATGGAAGTACAGTTCCTGTATCATTTAACAGAATAAATGTAGATTAATTTGGTTTCTCTCATCATATCAAAATTTCAGTTTTTATAGGCTAATAGCAGCAAAACAGAAAACTGTAAGCTAAGAAATTCTTGGGACATGGCAAAGCAGCAGCACGGGAGAGGAAGAATGAACTGGACTTGTAGTTAAATAACTTACTACAACTATTTAATTTCAAAGACAAGTCAACAGCCTCAGTTTCCTTATCTGCACCATGAAGGATTTAAGGTCATTTCCAACTCAAATATTCTATCTGTAATCATTCCCTTCTCTGTCTGTCCATGGTCTTTAATGCTTCCTTCTTGCCCCTTCAAGCCCAAATCCTGATGTTTTCTCCTGCGCTTTACTCTCCTCCAATACTAAGGATTCTGGAGGCAAATTCAAATATTCTTGTCTGCTTGTCTGGTAAAAAAAAAATAGTAAGATGTATCTTAATGCTATTTAATCAACTACTTTTGGACCAATCAGCACCCTCAACATGTCACGTAATAAATATATGTGTAGAGATAATCAACACAACCCCACCACAAATGTTTTGATATATTTGAACACCAAATATCTTATTTGTATGGCACTTATTCAAGAACTCTGAATTATCAAGAGCATGACCATAAACAAAGTTAATTTCCCTTCTAAAGGAAAAGACTACCACACCCACTAAAAAGAGGGTGGAGAATTCTAGTCTCTTGAGGCTGAATGGAAATTTGATTCTGACTACTGTACGTAAATGTGAGATCACAGTGTAGAAATCAGTGACCAAACAGCCCGGAAAATGTTAACTACTTAACTTCCTGCCTAGGTGGGCAACTCTACAGCTGTGCCTTTAATATAATCCCCTGGGGTAAAAAGGTGGCACAAGGGAGTGACAAAAAGGACAAAGTAGAGAAGGTACTCTTTGATACAATTTTTAAAAACATGTTTATGTAATAAATGAGACAGCATGGATAAAGCTGGCTTAGGGGCCAGGCAGATCTGAGTTCAAGTCTTGACCATAATACATACTGGCAGTGTGACCAAGGGCAAGTCCTTTAACCTAAGAGAAGATGCCAATCAACAACTAATAGAAGGAATTTTCTAATCTACAAGTTTTTGATACTAAAGAAATCTCAGATCCAGTCCTTACACTATATAACAAGTAGCTTTATACCATGTACTTCAATAACTTCTAATATGGAAACATCCTTAGGTAAAACACGAATTTTCAGCTATGTCAAGCCAAGGTAATATGGATTTATTAAGTACCCACTCTGTGGTAAGTACTGTGAAACTTTTTTGGAGAGAATAAGAAAAGCAAAAACAATTCCTGATCTCAAGGAGTTGACAATCTAATGAGGGAGACAACATGCAAACAACTATACACAAACAAGATATATACAAGATAAACGAGAGATAATCCCAAAGGGAAGGCTTTACACATGAAGGTCTGCTTATAAAATCCTAGAGAACCTACAAATAAAATAGCTTCAGTGAAGCAGTGTGATACAAGATAAGCTCACAAAAATCCTTTCCTATAGGTCTACAGAAGGACCCTAAGTCTAGACCAAAGGATGAAGATTACAATTAGAATACCAGGAGGCTACCCTTGACTATTGTGGCTCTTACTCTGGAGACCAGGCTAATTCTAATGATCTGGAATCCAGACTTCATTTATCCATCAAGAATCAAATCTTGATGTGTCAACAAGTACCCTCTGGCCAGGTCCTCTCCACGGTAAGTTCTCCAGCAGAGCTCCTGGGACCTACTGGGAAAGGTAGACACCAGATTACCTCTCTAGGAGGATATCAGTCAGCAAGGTACACTAAAAAGAGGAGAAACCAAACTTTTAAAAAGTTGAAAACTGGGGCAGCTAGGTAGCGCAGCAGCTAAAGCACTGACCCTGAAGTCAGGAGCACCTAAGTTTAAATCCAGTCTCAGACACTTGACCCTAGCTGTGACCTTGGGCAAGTTACTTAACCCCGATTGCCTCACCTCCCTCCAAAAAAAAAAAAAAGCTGAAAACTATTTAAGACCACACTGATTATATTATATACAGTAACACCTTTGTGGTTTAGTGAACCAAACCTGTGATTTCACTGGTATAGGGAACTCCTTATCCAAATGCTCAATACACCAATTGCTGATAAGCACTTAATATGCAATTTGTCATCTCAGAAAGCTGCTGCATGGGCCATCTTGAAGTTGAGTGAACCAACTCAGGATATACAGACTGTAATTTTCAGAGACAGGACCTAAACCTAGGTCTTCCTTACTCCAGGGGCAGCTGTAGTTATCTCTATTATCACCATACTACTTCTCTATATACTACACAGGCCAAGTGAAACTATCATATTGCTAACTGAATACTACTTATAAAATGGAATCATTACCAACTCTTTGTCTAGTAACAACAACCTAAACTATTATTCAATATATATGTCACCATAATAAAAATAGTTCTATCTATGGGCTAAATCAACAATCAAATTAACCAAAACATCAGAAAGTGGAAGGGTGAGAAGATTGTTTTCATGATTTTTATTTAATTTTTACCATATTTTACCATATTTAACATTTACCACAGCAAACAGCTAATTTTTGAAAGTAGGGCAAACCCAAACAACAAATAAGCTAACTTAAATACTGCATTTTTTTGTTCGAAAGTCCTGAAGGTTTCAAGTACAGAGTCTATCCACTGATGATTAATTTAACTGCTCTCTTCCAAATGTTATCCATTAACAGGTGGGAAGTAGGAAGGATATTGTTGTTGTTACTGTTTGTCCTTTCTTCTGGAAGAAGACCAGACATCAGGGAGGTGATGCCATGACACACAAGTGAACTGAATTTAAGTGAAGGAGGGCTGTGTGAAATCACCAGCCTCACTTTCTCCTCCAGAGCCTACTGGGTCCAGTGGCAAGATACAGATCAAGATGACTGAAGAGATCCTGGATGCAGGACAGACCTTGGCCTTTTTAAGCTAAGGTTTTTCTCAGGTCTCAGTTTGTCTGAAGCAATGCTCATTCAGTGATTAAGGCTAGGTAATTTACGAAATGAGGTGGGAAGTGGGAGGGTAGATTGAGAATAAAAGCACTGTTTTAAGAATAGATTGATAATGGTTAAGTTTTTTGTGGGCTAAAAAGGGTGTGGTAGAGAATATAGAACTGGACTTGGAGTCAGAAGATCTGAGTTCAAATTCTGCTTGTGATACTTGTTTAATATGTAACCTATAAGTAAGTCACTTAATCTCTCTGGTCCTCAATTTCTTCATCTACAAAATGATAAGACTGGATTAATGACCTCCAAGGTCTCTTCCAACTCTTAAATCTATACTCCTATGAAATCCTGCTTTGGACACTTAATATGTGACCTTGGGCAAATTATTTAATTTCTCTCAGCCTCAGTTTTCTCATCTATAAAATGGAGACAATAGTTCCAACATCACAAAGTTGTTGCAAGGATCAAAATCAATATTGTACATAAAGCATTTTACAAATTTTAAAGTGACACATGTCAGGAATGATTAATTGTTTAATGACAATATTTTGTTATGATGCATTTCATCTGCTACCTATCAAAAAGTAGGTATTTACTAAGCTGTCAACAATGTTTATCTCAGGTAAGAAAGTTTTTCTCAGAGCCTCTTAAATATGAATTTTCAACTAATTGAAGAATTGTATGAATTATATATTCATCTTCTGCTTCTGTTTTAAGTAGTTGGATTAAATTGAACAAAGTCACAAATGCAGAAAACATATTAGATAAAGAGACATTCTCCAAAAGATAAGTGATAAAAGAACAGGAACAGTTTTCAAAGGAAATGCAAACAATAAACCAAAAGATACTCTTCAGTATGCACCCTAGGAAAGTCAACGATGGGGAGGTCAAACGTGTATCATAATACTCATAAGTATCACACATTTTGTGGTACAAAAAAGAATTAGAAATTTGGTTTCTGTCAGCTGAAGAATAGCTGAATAAACAATGATATGCATATCATGGAATTATTCTACCTTAACAAATGACAAGTATGAGGAATTCAGAAAAACACGGGGAGGGTTCATATGATCTTAGGCTGAGATAAAAAAGTAGAACCAAAAGAAGAGTTCAGTCTAGGAGCTCTTAATTGTTTTTTTTTTTTTTTTTCTGTCATGGACCTCACTTTAGCAGTCTGGTGAAGCCTATGCACTCCTCAGAATAATTTTTTAGATGCAAAAAATAAAATATGAAAGATATGAAAGAAAAAATTATATTGAAATACAGTTGTCAAAAAAATTTTTTAAAAACAAGTCCATGGACCCTAAGATCAAGAATCTGGTTTGGACAACCAAAGTATACAATGTAAATAGAAAAAAACAAAACAAAACAAAACTGTATGGCAGCTGAATTCAGATTCAATGCAATGCCCAATCTTGGTCCAAGAAAATAGATAACAAAACATACTTTCATCTTCTTGGGAAGAAAAGCATGAGACTAGGAGTGCAAAACACTCCATATGTTCTCAGAGAAAACTGCTGTATCTGTTTTGTTCAACTGTTTTTCTTTGTTACAAGGGCAGAATCTATCACAGGGCAGAAAGATAGTGTACTATTTGGAAAATATGGCAGTACTAAAAAATAAGACACCAGTAATACTCTCAAAATGAATTTTTCAAATGGTTAAAATATTGTTGAACTTACTGCTTCTGCTTCTGCTCTTGTCTTGAATGTAATTACCGCGTGAAGAGAGGAGTCATCAATCTGACAATCTTCAATTTCACCATATTGCTTTAAAAAAAAAGTCTCCATTTAAATGCTTATGCAATTTAAAATATCAAACATTATTAAAAATGTAAAATCGTACAAATAAACCCATGCCATAATAAAGTAAAAGAAGCAGTAATGCCATATTGGTCCCAACATTCTTGCAAAGTTTGATTTGTGCTTGATTTGAGTGCATGTGTGAGTACATGCATGTGAGCATATGCAGGGTACAACATGTGTGTGGGCAGGAGAAGAAACAGTATAACACTGGATCTAGCACCAGCCTTAAAGTCAGAAAACCTAAGTTCCAGGTCCAATACATATTAGCTATAACACCCCGAACAAGTTGCTTAACCTCTCCAACGGCAGGCACCAAAGAGTATAAAATTGCAAATCAGGTTGCTCTGCTGCAAAAGCAGAGGAAATTTTGTGTAAAACACTAACTATAGGTCCAGACCATAAATACATTTGTGTGTGCAACATTTCTGTTTAAAGCCATTTTCAGTTTAAGGATACAGCCCATATCTGAATTGAAACTATATTCATATCAACATAACTGATTTCATTTATAGTACACTGTTTGCAAAAAGAAACCATACATTTTCCAAGCTTATTTTTGGTACTGTTATAAATACCATTATTTTTGAAAATTAGAATGCCAGAATATATTTTTTCTCACAAAGCTTTGGGTATTAAATACTCCCATTTGAAACTTATTCCCACATTGCTATTAGAAAAAGTAGAAGAAAATTCATTATTAAAAAAGGTTACCATAAAGATTTTATGCAATCTGAGTATAAAACAATAACCCACAAAAACAATCATTTGTTGTTCTAATACACTTATTTCTAAATGAGGATCCTGTCCAAGTAACACAATTATTCTCAAACTTAACAAAAAAATAAAAAGATGGTATGGTGAAAAGATAGGTATAGTCTGCCATTTTCGTTGTTGTTGTTCAGTTGTTTCTGACTCTTTGTGACCCCAAGAACCACACTGTTCATGGGGTTTTCTTGGCAAAGATACTGGAGTGGTTTGCCATTTCCTTCACCAGTAGATTAAAGCAAACAGATGTTGAGTGACATGCCCAGGGTCACACAACTAATAAGTGTCTGAAGCCACATTTGAACTCAGATCTTCCTGACTCCAGACCCAATGTTCCACCCACTGAGCCATCTAATTTCCCCCTACAGTCTGACATATACTCCCATATTCTGGGAGAATAAGGTTCCAAGAAAATATAGAAAGAGTCCAAAATAAAGGAAGGATCTAAAATTCTACAGAAGAGATCAGAAGCTCTCAAGAATGAAATACTGAAGACACAAAAATGACTAATTCTAATAGTGAGGTAACTAAAGAGAGATGTAGATACACCAGCAAAAGAGATGGATTCTCCAGCAGGGAGCACATTCTGAAGCAAGTAAAGGTAAAGAAAAAAAGGAGGAGGAAGAGGATGTCCCAGCTATCCTGGGGAAAAGAAGAGAACAAAAGAAGGGGAAGAACCACTGATAACACATAATAATAATGTGATAATAAATAATAAAAAAGAACTTATCAACTCTTATTTGTTTCATATTTTTCTGCCAACAAAAAATAAGCCAAAGATTTAAAAACTAGGGAGAAAAAGAATAACAATACATAATAGGAAATAAATATGAAGACAACTAAGGAAATAACAAAAAGAGCACCTAGCTATTCTGATTAGTTCAAATCACTAAATGCTCAGATGACTTGTATTACAGGGAACTTAAAGAATTGGCAGCTATGACTATTAAGTCACTCTCAGGAATATGAATGACTATAGCGAACACAAAAGTAGAAAAGGGCAAATGTCTCCATTTAAAAAACGGGGGTGGAGGGGTGGGAGAAGAGTAGAGCCTGCAAACTATACACCAGCAACCTTGACTTATATAATGAAGAATCCTGCAACTTATTAAAGGATTGACTTAATATAATGAAAATCCTGCAACTTATTACTTAAAGGATTAACTGCTATTAATGAACATCTAGAAAGGAAGCAATGGTTAGAACAAGTCAATATGGCTTAAGTTAAGAACAAAACTATACATCAAATATAAAGATCTAAAATCAAGGTGTATTAGGAAACTGCTATAAATATATATGAAACCAAGAGTCATTCCCCAATAGATATATGGTGTCTAAGGATATGAATAGCTAAAAAACTACAAATTATTAATAAGTATATGAAATTGCTCTGAATCATTTATAAGAGAAAGGTAAATTAAAAAGCTTCACCTCATACCCAGAAAACTGGCAGAGATCAAAAGACAAATATTCAATGCTTAAGGGGCTTCAGAAGACAGACACATGAATGAATTGTTGGTAGAGCTATAAATTGGTCCAATTTATACACTCTTGGACCTCAAGAACTCACTGTTAAGACATATAACCTAAGGAGACAAAAGATACCACATATATGAAAACATTCACAGTGCTTTTGAAGGTGCTGGACCATATGGCCTCTGAAGTCCCCTTTTAACTCTAGACCTCTGATATTCTATCAAGTTGTATACTGAGGATCCAAAAACCATTTTCACAAATACAAACTAACACTAACATGGCTAGAAAGCAACTCAAGATCCAGAAATATCATTCAAGCGCAAACCTGACCTGAGCCAAAATTGTGGCTGATGTTATCTTAAGATGCACTGAAGACAGGCAGTGTCCAAGATGGGAGACACCAGTCCTGTCATATTCTACCCTAGTCAAATGACACGGGGAGTACTGTGTCCTGTCCTAAGTATCACATTTTAGGAAGAAAATTAATATTAAAAACAACCAAAACAGTGAAGAGCTTTTGAGTTCATGCCATATGAAGCTCAGCTGAAGGAACTTTGACAATTTAAGTCTGAAGATAACTTAGTAAGGACATAAGAGCTATCTTCAAGTATTCAGAAAACTACTTAAGAAGAAGATGGCTCTGGTTAATCCCCAAGGGCAAAACTAAGAGCAATGGGTGAAAAGTGGCAAAGGTAAAATTTACGGTGAAAAAACTTTGAGAAAAATTTCTTAAAAACCAGAGCAAACCAAAAACAGAATAAGCTATACTGGGAAGTAGTATGGTGCCCTCAGGAAGTAGTGATGGGTACAGAGTCACTTACCGATTATGTTGCAGAAGGGACTTTAAATTCAGGTACAAGTTCCTTTCCAACTCTCAGATTTTGTGCTTTTTCATCACAGTGAGATAACTTCACCCAACAGCAAGAATCTCTTATGTTTTTAATAAAATGTTGGGATTAAGCAAGTTATTTGTATACTGTGTGATGTTTAAAGTATTCAAATAATATATGCCATTTTTATGGTACTCCAAAATATCACCATCAAAAGCAATCTGAAACTACGTACTGATAATATGTACTCAACAGGTTCACATAGGGAAAGAAAAGTGGAGCACTGTAGAGAACTAGTCTATAGCCAGAAAAAGCAAAACACATATTCTGTTTCAAAAGCAAAAGAAGCAATTGTGTTTTTTTTTCTTTTCTTTAGCCACCAATAAATTACCTATGAGACATGTAATTTAATTCCCCTAATATAATGTATCTTCTTGGATAAAAGTCATTAAAATCATTAGATACCGCAAAATGGGGGAGGAGGTCTTCTCTATCACTTTCGGTAAATGCAGAGATCTCTAATGCTCTCGGGCGATGGTCTACCACAGCATGACCAGGAACGCCTCTCCCTCGACCACGTCCCCTTCCTCTGCCCCGCGTGGTACCTCGACCTCTTGAATGAATTCCTCGCCCTCGACCAGATGAAAGAATCCCTCTTTTTGCAGCCTAAAACAAATTTTAAAATGCGTGCCATTTATTTACATTCAAACAATACACCAGTCACTTACCATCAACATTATCATCACTGCTAGCATTTATATAGCACTTAAAGATTCACAAAGTATTTTTCAAATATTATTCCATTTTATCCTTACAACAACTCTGAAAGATGGGTGCTATTATTTTACAGATGAGGAAACGCTTAACATAGTTAAGTAACTGAGATTTTAATTCAGGTCTTCCTAACTCAGGTTCAGCCACTTAGCTGCCTCATAATAAACTAATGTTTTTAAATATTATGTTTTGGTAGAAAAACTGCAATTATGGTGGGGTTTTTTTTACATTTTTGTCTAAACATATGACATGCACTACAGATCCCCTAAGTTGGAACTTTACTTTTAAAGGGAAATTCTTAAACTCAGTTTCCCTCCATCCAAAAAATGAAACTGTTATTTTAAGGTCTGAGATTATTATTTATGTTCTCTTCTAATCTCAGATCCCCAAATTATTAAAACTTCCACCTAGACTTGTGATGTCATACAAGTAGGGAACTCTTGAAAAGGAAATTCATCTTATCAACACAGATTAGCAACTACTATGGCCTGGAGCTAAGAATGGTTATTAATTTTAAAATAAAGTTTTGTTTTATTTAAAATGTAAAAACTATTTTTAGCTTGTAGGCCATTCAAAAACGGGTCATGAGTAGGATTTGGCCCTCTGGCCTTGGAAGCTAGGGTGCTGATGGTACCTAGGGTGCTTACGCAGGGCCAAAAGCCAGAATTTATCAGAAGCAACTCAGATTATCCTTATTTTTGGTTTTCAAAAAATCATCACAAAATAATAATAGCGCTAGATTTTTTTTCAATAAAGGAAACCAATGATAAACTTTATTACTTTGAATAAGAGTAGCATTACCAGTCTGAGCTCTTAGGAGAATGTTTAATCTTAAAATTAGACAAAGCCAACTAAAACCTAAATAATGTTTTCACTGGAGATGTTAGTATTAGTTGCAATTTAAACTTCAGTCACAACACAGGCAGAATGCAAGTTTGCATGGTATGTCACTGTAACAATTAAAATGCTTTATTTACAACTGCTGAAACTGTGAACTAAAACTTTAAATCTAGAGCTCCATTTTTTAACCTATAAGAAACCAATATAACACAATTAAAATGTCAACATCCAACCTTTCCATCTTTAAAATGAAACCCATATTATTTCTCCCCCTCCTCAAAACACTAAGATATTAACTGGTTTTCTACCAATAAAACAAAATCTGCAAACTATGTAGAAAATATCATGAACGGGGCTTACCTTTCTTACGCCATATCTCATTTTACATTTTAAAAAATTAACATTCTTGTTAAAACTCCAGAATCTTAATGCAACCGAGTGATAAAATTAATTAAGAATTTGTTAAGTAAATAAAAAATGTAGCCTAATCAAAAGGAAATTATGTGTTGTGTCTCGTTTTTGTAAACACCCATAGCACCACCTATAGGCAAAACTTTCTTAAGCACTATGAATAGTCTACTATATTTTAAATGATACAAAATTGACTGGAAATAGCATGATTCAACAAATAAAGTGAAGACGACCTTATGTGCTAAGCTACTAAAGCTTAGGGAGGAAAAAAAAAGTCCAATTTCTAACTGGGAAAAAATTGAAACCCTGCCCTCTTAGATAACATTACAGCACAAAGTAGTAATGAAAAAGAGTCAGTCATAGATTCAGAACTGCAATTCAGTAAATTTTTATTAAGCACAATGTGCCAGGCACTGTGTTACAAAGAGACCAGAAATATCAAAGTCTGACCCCTTCATTTTATAAATGAAGAAACTGAGGCATAGAGAGATTGAGTGACTTGACCAAGGTCACAAAACACAATACAATTAAGGTGTCTCGAGGTAAGATTTGAACATGGGTGTTCTGCCCTCAAATTTAGTGCCCTGTCAACAGCACCATGCCATTTCTACACCTTGAAACCTTTCCATAAGCTGTGGACTATTTATAAATGAAGAAAGCTAAAAGCAACTTTATAATAATAACTGAAGAATAGCCAAACAAACTGTGATATGAAAATAACAGAATATTTTTGCCCCATAATAAACAGCATGAAGAATTCAAAGGAGTTTGATAAGATTTATATGTAGTGATTCAGAATGAAAAAAGCAGATCCCACAGAATGTACATATCACCTAAAACTATATGAAGATGATATTAAATGTCAACAGAACTTTAACTATGAACACTGACATTATGTTAAGTACATAACCTTTTTTTCTCTTTTTAAAAAATGGTAAATTACAAAGGTGTACATTTATAAATACAGTCAATAACCATTTTTCTTAAATTATTTTAGTGTGAATTTTGGGAATTGTTTATTTTCTTTTTAAATAAAAATAGGACTATGATCTTCCAAAGACTATATCTTAACATGTGTTTGTCATACAAGTAAAAAAATAACAACAGTAATACAGGTGTGGACTGAGATGATAACACAAGACACTACTTTGATCCCTCTCTCCTACCTAGCCTATCAACATACTTTTCTTACTTCCTTCTTCTAAACCCAGACTCCAAAACATGAAAACTGGAGCCATAGAGTATATTTGTGCTTCTTTGCTTCCTTACCCCCTACAAATCTAGGCACCAGAAAAACAGGGCCTATAATTTAAACTTTATGTCCCCCAATTCTCTGTACACTCAAATGCTGAAAGAAAACGTGAAGCCACAGTGGGTGTGCCATACCCCAGAACATGTGGCAGGTGTTAATCACTGCTATCAAATACAGAAGCAATATTTTTGAAAAAGACTATTACAGGCATCCTTTTATCTTATGATATTAATGAAACATACTTCAAGCTGTAGTTCTGTATATTTTCTCCTAAGTTCAGTGACTTCTTCTCCAGCCTGCATCTTCTTGTACAAATCCAGTTCTGTGTCCAGTAATTCTTTCTGCATCTGAAATGTTATAAAGACTAAACAGTTGAGGTATTAATTTACATTTATAACTCCCTCCCATCTATTAAAATCATACCCAACCCTTCAAGACCTAGCTCAATTCCTTCATGAAGTTTCCCCTGCCAACTTCAGCATTCATTAATCATTTTCTGCTTTGAAATTCTATAGTTCTTATAATCTGTATCACTTAATTTACATTCTCCTGTACATTGTTTGCTGCATTCAGTGACAAGTCTTATACTTTATCTGCATTCTCCCCCTCTACCCCGCACTGCCCAAAGTATCTTGCAGAGTCCTGGGCACACAGGAGAGGCTAAATAAATACTTTTTGGTTAACAAGTCAATTTATTTGGTACTCATTTTAGGTTAAAAAATGTAAAAAGACGAGACAAAACTAATCAAGTGCCAGAGAAATATGGTCAATCTAACACTGTAAATAAAGGCATTCTTGACATGTAGCCTGGGGGCTTCTGAGAATTCCTAAAGGAGTAAGATACCACCTATTCCCTCAAGGCCCAAATCAAAAGCTTCAAACTCCTTCCACAACTATTCCCAGATTCCACTCCACCTTCAACAGCCTGCATCTCTTTTTCCTTTGTATTTCTATGGTACTTACATATGGTCTTAAAAGATAAGAGAACTATAGACATGTTATCTCCCCTATCAAATTGTAATTAGGGACTACTTTATGTAATTTTTTTTTATCTAGCACAGTGCCCTACATTTAGGCGCTTTGGAACCATTACTGAAACAGGAGTTACCACAAAGAAAACTGGGGGGGGGGGGGGGAAGGAAGTCACAGGTCTTCAGGATTTCACTTCATTTATCTATAGAGTTCCATAGCATACAAGTCTAGGACATACAACAGCTGTCATATATACTCAGTACTTTTTTATTTTGTGAAAAATGGGGGAATGTAGATATGGTTATAATTTTATCACCAACAGCTGACATTTATATATCACCAGAAAATCTACAAAGAACTTTACATAAATGTCATTTGAACTTCACACTAACTCTCTGAAGTAGAAACCACTTTTAAAGAAAATGGAAACTGAGGCTCAGTAAGGTGACTTACCCAACAAGTCTCAGAGGTGTGATTGAAAAGACTGGACTTAGTGACAACCCCACTGCCTCAATTTGAACATCATAATGTCAGCATGCAACTAGAAACTTCAATTTCTCAGGATTGACTGTGAACTATTTCTGTAATACTAGTAGTACCCCAGAGAGGTAAAGTGAATAAAACTTGGAAGCTGGAAAGATCTGGATACAAGTCTTGGCTCTGAAACAAACTAGCTATAAGGACTAAAGACAAGTCACTTCACCTATCAGTGTCTCAGGCAATTATCTAAGGCTCTAGTTACAGATGAGTTGCTGATGTGCAACAGCAGAGGGAGTTTCTACACAGTAAAATCACAGAATGAAATCCTTTAACTGTCTAACAAAGCCACACTGGAAAGCCCTACGAACTGAAGTTTCCACCATAAGGTCCTTTGGGTTACAGAATTTGGTTGTGACCAGTTTGGATGTGACTGTCCTAGCGTACAGCTCTAAACTATAAGTAATTTCTAATACTTAAAGTCAGGAAAAAAGACAGTCCAAAGATTTAGATTCTACTCCTTAGTTATCCCTTGACTCACTTAATAGCCTTCATGAAGCTCCAAACTTTTAAAATAAAATTGGAATAACACCATCTCTCATTTTCATGAGATTATTACCTAAAATATGAAAATAAGAAAACTACACTGCACTTCCTAGGGAATGGCTTTATTAAAAATGACATTATGTCATTAGCATGTTTTTACAGATAATGCATGAGCATGCTACAGAGATGATTGAGATACAAGTCATTTTAAGTTTTAACTGAATAAAGTACCTGAGCTTTGGTTTTCACACTTTTGGGAAGGGAGCCTCCAGATGAAACAGCTTTCAATTCATCTTTTAATTTAGTAATGCTATTCGTCAACGCCTCCAAAGTTTTCATTATTTCCGCCTTATCTTCAGACTTCATTGCTTTGTTTTTCTCCAGTTTTGAAATTAACATCTATTAAATTTTTAAATTTGTTAAATTGTTACAGGAAAATATAAAAGAAGGTATTTACATAGTATAGTAAAGAATAGGAAAGAACACACATTTTAAATGAATATATACATATAAACATCAAAACGTCAGTAAATTCAGACGATGGACGATCCTCAACTGAAATGTTCAAATTTATTTCAATGGATTAAAATGATTTTTTAAACCTCTTAACAACTAGGCATTAAAACAATTTGAAAGCATGCAAAAATCAAGCTCTCAGTTCTGTTTTTACATAGTTTTAATAAGGGTGTCACTTTTTCTGCATATTTTTACTCCATTTGGAATGCAGAAAAAGCCACATAAGGAAAACAGGTTTAAGTTTTCCTCCCTTGTAAGTTGCAAATCAAAAACTTTAATTGCTTCCTTTTTTGGAGAAACGTGAATCAGATAGTTAATAAGCTTGGAAAGGGTAGCTTATGCTCTGAATTAATCAAAAGAGCAGTACTCTTCACCTAACACAGGGAACATGGCAGAAGTGTAGATGACAAGGAAAGTAAAATACCTTTTCAAGTCCCTCTCAATGAAGATGGCTTCACTTTTCCCCCCAATATTTAAAAGTTTTACAAATAGCCTCAAATAGTTTTCTGAGTTAAAACTGAACAGTCATTTAAAGAACTGTGAATTTTAATTATCAATCACACACTTAATGAAATTAAGTACAATTGCAAAGACAAATCGAAATGATTTGGGGCCACTCATAATTTTAACTTACTCATGACACTTTTTGCTAAGACTTCAAATAATCAAGAAATGCTCATATAAATATCATGGTACAGAAATTCAAGAAGTGTACAGTAATTCCACGTGGCCTTGATTCATTTTTTAAACAAAGGACCAGAGAAATACAGCATGTGCACGTGAAAACTACCAATTTTTTCTCACTATTGTCTTTTACAGTTGCATCTAACCAAGATAAACACTATTCTTCCAAATAATTTTTAAAACCAATATTAACTTATTACAGTAGAATTAAAACTCATAGAAAACTAGAAACCACATGTAAATGTATCCTCAAAGTAAAGTGATATGTTACCTTCTGTGTTTCAATGTGCTTTTCTAAAATCTCTTGCTTCTTTTTTCTCACATCCTGTTGCAATTTTAGTGCTTCCTATAAGAAAAGACAGAGTAAGAGGGGAAAAAATCACAAAGTATCAATATACATTTCTCCCAAAAAATATGATTATTAATTTGGAAAATGGTCAAGTCTAGCTTTAATAAATAAAATTAAATATAAAATATAGCAATTCCAAAGTATATGTATTATGGTTCAAGAGTTGACAGGACTCCAAAATCTACACACTGGCTATTTAGTCCAATCCAGGCACCAAGAGAACCCCCAATATACCATACTCTTCAAGCCGCTGCTTTAAGACCTCTCCCGAGGAGACAGCTTCACCTAGAGACAACTCTATTTGTTACCAAGTTTTCCCTGATATCAAGCATGACTTAACCTCTTTGCAACTTCCACCCACTGCTTCTAGTTCTGCCCTCAAACACAAAATCCCTCCCTCCACATAACAATCCTTCCAATACTTGAAGCCAGCTACGGTGTCCCCACTAAGTCTTCTCTTCTGTGCCTACCTCTTCATATGACACTGACTCAAGGGCCTTCACCTTCTGGTTGCCTCCCTCTGGATACTCTCCAGCTTCTCTGTCCTTCCTAAACTGTAGCACCCAGAATCAAGAATAATGCTCCAGCTGTGGTCTGACAGGGCAGAGTACAGAGAGATGCACCTCTTTACTCCAGAAAGCTATGCCTCCTCAAGACAACCAAGACAACTCTCAAGACAGCTCACCTTGAGCTGACAGTCCACTAAAACCCAAATATCATTTTCAGATAAACTGTTGCATAATTATGCCCCTGCCTGCACTTGTATTTGTGATGTTCATTTTCTGAATCCAAGTACAGGATTTTATTTTTAATCTTAATGAATTAAGGCTCAATGCTCTAACCTATTAATATCTTACATGGATTCTGTCACTATAATCTTGAGTATCTCACTGACCCCTCACCCGCACAACTTTGTATAATCTGCAAGTCTGATTACTATGTTAATTATGCCTTTTGCCCAAATCAATAATAAAAATGTTAAACAGCACTGAACCAAGCTAAGAATCATACTTATTATAAACATCAAATTACTAAGCTTGGTCTTATTTTGGCTACATATTTTAATCAAAGAAAAGTCTCATTTCCCTCAGGCTCTGACAAAGAGGTGGCCTTTTTCCTTGCCAAAGTCAACCCTTCTATATCTGCACTTGATGCCATTCCCCTCTCATCTTCTCTGGTAGACTACATAATCATCTCCCTCTCTTGCATGAGTCTCCCTCCTCTCTAGATCAAGTGGGTCATTCCCAAACGCCTTCAAATATGTCCAAGTCTCCTCCATCTGCTAAAAAAGCTTCAATCAACTCTGCCATCCTTTCGAGCTAATGTCCTTTTCTCTCCTCCCTTTCCAGCCCAAGTCCTTGAAAGTACTATCTACACTAGCTATCTCAAATTCCTCTTTTCTTATTAACGTCATTCTTCAATTCTTTATCAATTCAGCTTTAAATCTCATGAGTCAACTGAAACTGTTCACTTCAAAGTTACTAATGATGTCTTAATTGCCAAATTTGATGGGCCTTTCTCATTCTTCATTCTTCTCATCCTATTTTTTGCATCTGACATAGTTGACTGCTGTCTCCTCCCTCCTTTGTGGGTTTTAGAGACTCTAATCTCTCCTGCTTCCTACCAGTCTGATTGCTCCTCTCAGTCTCTTTTTTGGGTTATCATCTACATCATATCTTACTGGCTTATCGTTAAATCACCTATAGCCCTCTCATTATGTGTGACCCCTGAGATTCTGTTCTATGCCCTCTTCTTTTCTCCTTTCTTCTGATAATAACCTCATCAATTTCCATGAGTTTAACTATCATCTCGATGAAGAAGCTTCACCAATCTATTGTCCCCACACCTACAATACCAACTGCCTACTGGATACTTCAAACATCCTAGAGACATCTAAAATTCAGTATGTTTAAAATTGAACTCATTCCCTCTAATGTTCTCCTCTTCCAAACGTTTCCATTTCTGCAAAGACACTATCTTTCCAGGGTCTAAGATTGATAATTCCAGTATTATCTTGGATGCCTCACCCATCCTCACTTCACATATCCAATCAGACACCAAATCTTGCCATTTCTGCCTTCCCAGCATCTCTCTCATTGGACTCCTTTTTCTACTCACACATCATATATACCACCTTAGTTCAGGTTCATCTATTAGATTACTACAATAGCCTTCTAATTGGTGGTCCTGCCTCAAGTCTTTCACTACTCTAGTATATCCTGTAGACAGCTGACCAAGTAACCTGAGACTCTCTTCTTCAAACAACTATAACAGCTTGCTACTGCTTCTAGGATAAAATACAAATCCTTTTATTTAGCTTTCAAATTTCTTCACAGCCTGGCCCCAACCTTTCTTTCTAGCTTTGTTTGACATTATCCCCTCTCCTACACTGTGCACATTCAATGAATACTGGTCTCCTAGGCTGGCTCCTCCTATCCTATTCCTTTGTGTGCCTGGTCTTCTAGGTTGGCTCTCCTTTCTCCCAGGGTATAAGAGAGATACCCATTCCAACATGTACTGGTCTCCTACACTGGTCTCTTCCCACTTGTGGGGCACCACTCCTATCTGCATGAGACAGAAAGATGCCATTCCATTGCCTCCCTGGTCTCCTAGACTGACCTCTTCCCACTTCCATGTTTATGAATGTTAAAATTCCCTAATCTGATCACAGTCTGTTGTCATTATACTTCTCCCTCTGTTACATCTCTGAATCCTGTTCTTCATTCTCACTGAGACCTCTAATCCCTTAACCTCCAAATTTCTTTACCACATGATAACCTCTGCACCTTGTATACTCTCCTTCCTTATCTAAACCCTTTGTTGAACCAGTTCAATTCTACATTGTATTTTTCTCAGATACTTCTTGTCCTTTCATCTTACTGCTGCTCTTTCCCTAACAAGCAATCTAGATTACTTCCACCATTGGCTGTTTTCACTCCTACTTATATGTTGCCAAATAAAATTGAGAAAATTATATAACCTTGCTGACTGAATCCACTACAAACTTATGCTACATAATCTCCACTGGGCCCCCACTACAACAAGGCAATCCTTTTATACCTCTCTAATTGACTCACTCGCCATAGCAGCTTTTCATCCTGTCTCAAACTTCCCACAGCTCCTCTCACTTACCCACTAAGCTGAGAAAACCTTTCCTTATACTTCACTGAAAAACGAGAGCTCCCACTTTTCTCCTTTTCCTCATCCTACATCACCTAGATGCCTTCTGCTATTGTCTCTCACATGATGAGGTGATCCTTCACCTTGACAAGGCTACAAGTAAAAGTGAACTCGTTTCACCCTGTGTCCTCCAGTAGATTGCCCACTCCATCCACCCCTTTCTCTCACTTATCTCCAAATCTCTCATAATCTATTCTCTACTTCCCCCGTGCCTACAAACATATCTCTCATATGCTCAAAACACTTTCATTTGATCAAGAAATCCCCAACTAGCTACTGTCTCATATCTCCCTTCCCTTTTGTGGCTAAACTCTTTGAAAATGCCATTTCAATAGGTGTTTCCACTTTCTTTCCTCTCAATCTTTTCTCATCTACTTTTAGTCTGGATATTGGCCCCCTTATTCAGCAGAAACTGTTTTCTCCAAAATTATCAATGATTTGTTATTTGCCAAATCAAACTGCCTTTTCTTAATCTTCAACATTTCTGCAGCCTCTGACACTGCTGATGACCCTCTTCTGATAATTTTTTCTCAGGCTTTTGTGACATTTCTCTCTCCTACTTAGCTGACTACTCTTTCTTAGAATCCTTTGGGGGAATCTTCATTCAGATCATAGTACCTTGGGTACCCACAGGGTTATCCTCGGCCCTCTCCTCTTCTCAATTGTATTAGCTCTCATGGATTCATCTCTGTGCTGATGTTCTTCCAATCTACTTATTCAGCCCTAATATCTCTGCTGATCTCCAATCTTACTTCCCCAATCCCCTATTAAAAACATCTCAAAAAGAAGGCCCTATATTCATCTTAAACTTACATATTCAAGAAAGAATTATCTTTTCCCCAAACCCTTCCCTCTTTCTGATTTTTTTATTATTGTTGAAGGTACCTCCATCCTCCCAGTCATCCAAGCTCACAACCTGGGTGTCATCCCTGACTCCTCACTGTCTATTACTGCACCATATCCAATCTGTTATCAAGTCAAGCCACTTCCATATTCCTAACATCTCTCATGCATGCCCCTTCCTGGTACAGGCCATCATCCTGCTACAGGCCCTCACTGCAGCATGCCTGTATTATAAAACAGAATTAGCCTGCTAATTTGTCTTGTAACTTGATCCAAGTCTCTTCCCTCTGCCTCCCATTCTCCACTCAATGTCAAAGTGATCTTCCTAAAGCACAGGTCTCAACACATCACCACTCCCAACCCACCGAAATAAATTCCAGTAGCTCCATATCACCTCCAAGATGGAATATAAAATTCTCTGGCATTCAATGCCCACATAATATGGTCCCTCTCTACCTTTCTAGTCTTTTTCAGATGACCTTCTCTTCCCTACCCCCCTTCCCCTACATACTCTTTGATCCAGTTGACACCAGCCTCTTTGCCTTTCTTCAAACAAAACATTCCATCTCCTGACCCCAGGCATTTTCACTGCTTGTTCTTCCTTCCTGGCTTTCTTCGAGTCCTAGTTAAGATCCCACCTTCTATAAGGAACCTTTTCTGGTCCTTTTTAATGCTAGTACTTTCCATTTGTGTTGTTCCGTCTGTGCTGTTGATAACCTCCAATTTATCTCGAATAAATCTCACTCATACACTGCTGTTTACATGTTCTCTCTCCCATTAGACTATGAGTCCTTGAAAGTTGACTGTCTTTTGCCTTTTTTGCACTGCCAGCTCTTAGCAGTGTGTGGAACATAGTAAGACCTTAACAAATAATTAATGTTATAATCCAGCCAAAATGACCATCTCTTTATTCTTTACACATGATGGTCCATTTTCCTTCTTCATGCTAATACAATGGATGTTCCCCCATTCCTGAAATGTATACCCTCATCTTTACCACTGTACCTCAGAGTCCTGTCAAGAATAGTTGAGGCACAATCTTCTGCATGAAAGTTTTCCAGTTCCCTACACAAATGTCAATTACTAATGACCTCCCTTATAGAGTTATATTCATATTTATATTTAACTATTTTGTGTGTGTGTGTGTCTAAATAAACTTTATATTTATGCTGTACAGATTTTATATGAACTTGTTTTCCCAATTAGAAGACAAGTTCCGGAAGCTAGGTGGCGAAGTTGATAGAGGTCAGGCCTTGAAGTCAGGAGGACCCAAGTTCAAATCCGGTCTTAGACACACAAACCATACTAGCTGTGTGACCCTGGGCAAATCACTTAACCCCAACTGCCTAGCAAAAAGCCAAAAAAAAAAAAAAAAGAGAGACAGTAAGTTCACTACAAGTAGGCAATGTTTCACAATTTGTGCTTATATCCACAGTACTTAGCACATATTAGGTGCTTACTAAATACTGGCTGATTATTGTGTTTACAATGTGGTTTAGAAGGGATAGAGCACTGGACCTGGAGTCAAGAAGACTTTAGTTATAAAAGGGGGTTCAACTTGATAACCCTTCTACCTATAAATCTATGCTCCTATGCTAGATGAAAATTATAAAGATGCACTACATTGCCAAATTCATTACAACTAATGTTTTTTATTTTTTTATTTTTTGTTTTTGCTAGGCAATGCGGTTAAGTGACTTGCCCACAGCTAGTAAGAGTTATGTGTCCGAGGCCAAATTTGAACTCAGGTCCTCCTGAATCCAAGGGCCGGTGCTCTATCCACTGCGCCACCTAGCTGCCCCAAAACTAATGTTTTTTAAATGAACATGACTTGCCCAAGATCTACACACTAATTTAAAAGGTTTGGTTTTCTTTTTTTTTTTTGGTCCTGTCCTAATTAGGCCTAAGAAAACAAACATAAAAACCAATTATAAAGATGCTTTCTGCAAACAAACCTTTGCAATATCTCAATTTGATTTACCTGTTTTTTTTTCTGTGCTTCGCTGTTGTCTAATGTAGAGATGGAAACAGCAGGTAAGGACTTCTGCGCAGCTTTCAAAGCAGCTGGATTGTACACTGTTTTTGTGAGGCCAGTAGAAGTGGACAACACCTAACAACACAAATGAATTATTTGCTCTTATGTCTGTTGTTTCCTACAAAAAATTTAAGACTCCATTTTAATGCTCCATTTTAAAATGAGTATCTTAGATATCTAAATGTAATAATAGCACTGACAAATCACATTAACACAAATTTCACATTAAAGAATTTTAAGATAAACGGAAATCAGTGGTACATTTTCCCTAAGTAAGAAATTTTACAATAATTTATCCAAGCGAAAACAGATTGGGGGGAGGGGGAAAGCAGTGTCAGGGAGAAATAAGAAAAGCACAATTTGAAGGCAAAAAGGTCTGATCACTACACTAACTATATATATAATCATATATATAATATATATATGTAATATATATAACATATATATTATATATATATGATTACTGAAAACCTTCATTCAAATGATATCTAAAACTACAATTATAATCTTGAAATAAAATATAAGCATGTGTATTCTTCTACCACAACTGAATTACATATCACAGATACTGTTTATAAGTTTTCTGTTTATTGTTTGCTAATTGAACATTAATTGTGCTACAGCCAAATGAGAATAGGGACCAAATTTATTCTGTGTCACTAGTGGTAAAGAATATTAACTCAAAAAAGCTTCATTAGGTAAAATACATATAATCTAGCACAGTACAGAAAAATATCCTGGAGTGTGAATCAAATGTTAAGTTAATATTGATCTCACCATTGTCTCCTAAAGTTAGAAAGAAAGTAATCCCAGGCATTTCCTGGATATTCACAATTTCAAGACTACATATACTTCATTTTAGTTTCAGAAACTATGATCATAGTCAAATTTCCCCTGCTATGGTTATACTAATTCTAAAGTTCTTAATGAAAAACGAAAAGGCCTTTAAGAGTATCAGCTATTTTAACATATCTAAGGAACAGAGGCAACAACACCCTAAAGGTCACAACACAAATCAAGGGCAGGAAGTGGAAATAAAGAAATTCTATCATCACTCTGCTAATACATTTTTCTTTCTTAAGAAACGTAACAGCGCTTTCTAAATTCCTAGGAACACAGGATGTACCCAGGTAATGGAAAGGACGGTGAGGTAGTGAAATGAAAGCTGAAATAATAAAGAATATTTCCCCAACCTCCTTAGTAGGATTTTGTCTCCTTTTCAGAGAGATCTTAAATCATACTCTGGTTTTGACTAATTTGTATTCCAGAAATTCATGAGAAAGAAACCTTCTTGAATGCTGAGAGTGATGTGAAATTTACTAATACCTTCCAACCAACAGGTACTCTATTCTTCTCCTACTTCTTTGATCTATCTCTTTTTCTTTATGCCTATCTCTTTTATTAAAATTTATCTACTTTTCTTCTCCCTCTTTTCCTTCCTTTACATTCATCAGTAGCCATGATATGAACTGAAATATTTTTTAATGTTTGTGGTATATATTTGTTGTATGTACTTTAAATATTTGTGGTATAATTTGTTCAAATTTTTAAAATCAGGTAGGTTCACACAACATTTTTTTCCCTCAAAATCAATTACATATTTTTTGCTTCAATTTGGCTGAGTGCTAGGTTTTCCTCCTACACTGTACAATGTTATCTCTCAACAGGAAAAGGATCACCTACACCTGATTTAGGTTAACCATACAGCAATAACTTGTAAAGGAAAAGAAACCTAGTTTTTTCTCTTGAAGAAAAATGAAGAAAACAGTACTCTGCAAATACTAAATTTAAAGTAATAAAAGTGTGACTCAAATTAAGTCATCAAAGCACCATATGTATATTACCTTTTCATTATCACTATCATCTAAAAATAAGGAAGCACCACACTTTCATAAACAAACAGGCCTCTGTTGCAAATCGCAATATGGCTACAATATGTAGGTGTGCTATTTTAATACCCACGTTCATGATAAAGCAAAGAAGCATGACATGGCAGACAGAGAAAACTGGCCTTGAAGTTAGGAAGACCTGGGTTCCAATACTTTTTCTAGCATATACTGGCAGTGTGACCCTGGGCAAGTAACTTAACCTTTCACTGCTCTAGGCAACTCTTTTAAGACTGTTAAGTTGGAGAAGAGACCTGCCAATAAAGCAGGAGTGCAGCCCATCTCCTGCCAAAACTACTCCATTGACCTAAAAAGAATGACAGACCAGAAGTGATTAGGAAATGGAAAAAACTGCAAAAGGTTATTTGTCCAGCCCAAGATCACAAATCTGACCTATAAACAAGAGGCCAGACAGGAACTATGGAATAGAAGCAGTTTGGGATTATGGACTTAGCTTCCAGGGCTCAGAACTAGGCCAACAGAGCAGGACACCCACAGCTGATCACTGACCTAGGCCCTGGCCCAGCTCAAAAGCAAGGGTCTCTCAGAGGGCCAGGAGCCCAGACTCAGTGCCCAGAACCCAGAGCTAGATCAGGAGCACAAAACTCCCAGAGGGCAGAGAATGTGGATACAGTACTCAGGGCCTGAAGTAGGCCAGCAGGGCAGCAATGCCCAAAGTTGATCTCAGAGACTCAGGTTCCTGCCCAGGCCAGCAGGGCTGGGTTCCCAGAGGGCCCAAGTTAAGGCAACCTTATAGGTTGTCTGCCAGAGGGATAAATACTGCAGACATGGTGTTAAGGGCCCAGAGCAAGACTAGAAGTACAGAAATGCCCAAAGCTGATCTTGGACTCAGCCCTAGACCAAGCCAGCAGAGCTAGGTCGTCTAGAGGTCCCTGAAGCTCAGACTCAGCACCCAGAGCCTCCCGGTTAGGCAAGCTTTCCACAGGTGCTAAAAACTCTGACTCAGCATTCATAGCCTGGAGCTAGGGCAGAAGCACAGGGATACTAAGAGCTGATCTCAGACTCAGGTCCCCACCCTTGCCAACAGTGGGTGGTCTCCGAGAAAGCCAAGGAATTCAAACTCAGTGCCTAGAATTCTAAGCTTCGGTTCTTCCAGAAGAGATTTCCCCTCCCAGAAAAGCAGCTGGGGGACAAACAGGTCACTCAGAGTGTCCTAGAACACAGATTCATCCCTTAGAGCTTCCCAGTTAGCAACACCAAGTTGTCCAAAACATATCACTGGAAGAATAACCACACAAAAAAGATAAAACACTATTATGAGGCCATGGAATGCAGAAGAGGAGAATAATTCCTAAACACCTATAAGCAAAGCCTCCAAGAAAATATATCTTGCCTATAAGAATAATTAGAATTGCTAAAAAGAAATTATGTAAGACTTCTTAAAAAGGGAATTTAAAAACAAGATAAAAGAAATGAGAGCAATAAAGGAAAGAACTGGAAAAGAAATGAGAGCTATCTAGGAGAGATTTGGAAAGACAATTAGCAACTTAGAAGAGGTACAAAATCTTACCCATGTAACAGAGTCCCTGATGATCAGAATGGACCAAACAGAAGTTAACAATTCTATGAGACAGAAAGAAATACTAAAACAAATTCAAGCAATAGAAAAATAGAAGAAAATGTATGGTATCTCAAATCAAAAACACTAATCAAGGAGAAATAATGTAAGAAACAAGAAACACTGCATTACCTGAAACTCATTCCTAAAAGAGTCCAGACCTCATATTTCAAGAAATCATAAAGGACAGCTAGATGACGCAGTGGATACAGCACTGGCCCTGGAGTCAGGAGGACCTGAGTTCAAATCCAGTCTCAGACCAGATACCTGACACTTACTAGCTGTGTGACCCTGGGCAAGTCACTGAATCCCAATTGCCTTGTTTAAAAAAAATAGTGAAAAAGTAATCATAAATACTCAGGTATCTTAGAACTAGAAAGCAAAAGGGGGCATGGGTTGTGTGGGGGGGGGGGTGAGGGAGGAGAAGAATACCCCAATCACCTCCTGAAAGAAATCCAGAAACGGAAACTTCTAGGAACATGATAATCAAAATCCAGACCCTCTAGATCAGATCTACACAACTTGCAGTTAACAGGCTGCTTACGGCATGCCCAAGGTTGCACAGGCCTGCTCTAGGTGAAAGAACAAATTCAAGTAGGCAAAATTCAAGTACCAAGGAACCACAATTAGGATCACACAAGATTTGACAGATACTACTAGAGGGGAGCAGAATGCATGGAATAATAGTCCAAAAGGCATAAAATACAGGATTACAACCGAACTGAGCTTAATTCTACAAGAGGGAAAATGTAATTTTAATGAAACAGAGGATTTCTCCAAGTATTTGTAATGTAAAGACCAGAACTGAGTATGAATTTAGAAATGAAAACACAGAATAAAAGAAATATAAAATGTAAATACAAAAAATGTAGAAAAGACTTTATGAGGAAAAAGTTGTTTGTATTCTACTGGAAAGGGGAGGGTGTTACACATTATTCTCAGTATTCCCTAAGAACAATAATGCTGATACGATAGAGGGAACCAAATAAGATAGAGGACATTTAGATGCCTTGCTATGTTGTGATGATCTTAAAAGAAAGGAAAGGGAGGGGAAAAAAAAGAATAGACTAGGAAGAAGGGAAAGGGGTGGGGAGGATGACTTATTTTCTCAGATAATCTGAGGGAGTGCAAGTAGAAATCTATACAAACACATAAGTGGGGGAGCAGGAGAAACTCAAACCTCACCCTTAACTAATACAAAGTGAAGTGAACAGAGCCAGGAAAACAATTTCTACTATAACATTGTGAAAATGAACAATTCTCAAAGAGTTAAGAACTACAATCAATGTATGATGCTCAACCATGATTCCAGAAGACCAATGATACAGAATAGTGTTCACATTCTGACAGAAGGGGTGACAGATCAGATATGTAGGTTTAAGACATGCATTTCTGGACGTGGACAAGGTAGGGATTTGTTTTGCTGGACTATGTGTATTTGCTGCACTGGATTTTGTTTTGTTTTGTGGAGGATGAGAAAGAGAGGGAATGAGGAGTAGATGCTTGTTAATTAGAAGGAAAAACACCAACTTGCAGAGAGGTTGCAGAGTTCCTCTCCAGGGAGCTCCCTGTCCCAGCTCTATCCTGATTCAAAATAAAATGTTTAAAGCAACACTTTCAATATAGGTACACTACTATGCACAACAGACATTCGTAGAATTTAAGAGCTGAAGGTCCCTTTCAGTAAGTCATCCCCTTCACCTTCTAGAACAGTAAAACGAAGTCCATAGCAATGAGTTCATTTGCCAAAGGTAATACAGCTTGTTAGTGACAGATCAAGGTAAAATTTATATGTTGCTTCCCTCATTACAATTCTTCAAAGACAGCAGAAATTTGTTTTATCTTGCTTTTTTGTTAATTTTTGGACCAAACCTGATTTTGTTGATGTAGGGAGCTTCCAGTGAGTAAAGTCCATCTAGCAAATCACATCAGCAACTCTTCTGTTACTTAGTCTTAAGAAAACTGGCTAAGGTGCCGAATTAGTGACATGCTCAGTAAAGCATGATCAGTATGTGCCAAACGCTGGACTTGAATTCAGATCTTCCTGTCTCTAAGGCAGCTCTCTAGCCACTATATCTCTATGGGTCCAGTTTATTAACATCTCCCTTATTACAAATTGAAAACATAAGGTAAGAGAGGGGAGTATAAGTCAGTTGCAATACCGTTATCCTTACCATTACAACATATTGCCACAGTTATAAATGTAACGTAAAAATTGATTATAACAGTATGCCTATCACACATGTGTTAAATCATAAAAGTTAATAATGGCTTATTAAAAGCCTTCTCCAAATTGAGGCCACTGCATGATCTTAATATTTTTGAAGGAATCATAGCAATTTGTTTCTTGGACTGATGAAATTTTTTCATCTGTCTGCTATTCTCCATCTTTCTGTTGCTCTTTTTACCCTATTTTCTACCCCCAATGTAAATGGTAGTCCTAATGAGAAAAAAATACAGAAAGTCAAACTGGCTTTTGTAAAATTTGGAAAAAACAATCTCTGCACCTTCCACTGCAAAAAAGGCATGTTTCTGGCTCAATTACAAAACAAAAAGCCCCACAATCTAACAATTAAAACAATAAAACTGTCCAAAAGTAGAATAAGCTTCCCTGAAAGGTAGTAGGTGAAGATCTTTAAGTGAAGGTTAGACAAGTACTTATCAGGGAAGCTATAAGGGGGGACTTCTGTCCATAATCTACGAGGTCTCTTCTAGCTCTAAGATGCTGTGACAATAAAAAACGCATGTTTCACTAACACGAGTAGTACCTAGTATGATTAATTCATGGAACTTTCAGTTATCAAGTAAGGTAAAGAGGGTAAATACATAATTTTTCACAAGTTGCAACTCATTCTCTTAGAAATGTATAATATTTTCACCTCAATTTTGTTTACCCCCTTTTCTTTGGAAATCTTTAGAAAAAATGACAAAGGAAATTTTAGTTTACCCTATTTGCATAGTTTTTTTTTTAACAAATTTGTAGTTTGTACAATACAGAATGAAGGTGAACTATTTAAATACAAATCACCTTTAGTTTGATTTTCAATCTAATCAAATGACTGAAAAGCATCAATAAGAGCAGAAGTACTTCTTGAATCAGAAATCTGGTCTGATCATCTGTAATCAATAAACAAGTATTTATTGAGTGCTTAATATGTACTGAACATTAAACTAGGATCCCTTGTAAAGAAATATGAATCTCACTCTTCAGGAGCCTAGAATCCAACAGGGCAGACAACATTTAACCTTTATAAAGAACAGTTTATGACACAAGGCAATATAATTAAATGCTGTAGAAGTTCTGAGGACAGGACAGAAGGGAAAACCAGAACAGGCAGGGCTAATTAAAGAAGGCCCCATAGTATAAGTAGATGACTAGATATGGATAAAATAGAAAAAATTAAAGAAGAATGACCTAAGTGAATACACAGAGGTAGAAATAAACATAGCATGTTAATATACAGTGAGAAAATGGAGGCAAACTGAGTAATGAGAAAGAATTTGACTAGGTATGGCCAGATCCAATTATGGAAGCCATGAGAAAGAATGTAAATTTTAATGCAATAATATATAGTATAGTAATTTAGGTCTGCACACAGAAAATTTAACAAAAACTAAAGTGTTGATTAAGGAAGATAAATCTGGCACAGGAATATAGTATTGAATAGGAAGGCAGATATTGGAGGGAAGGGGGAAGAGAGGTTGGATTTAGGAAGCTACTGCAATAATCCAAATGTAATAGAAAGAAGATATTGTAGGTATAAGAGAAATGGTATTTAAGTCAAAGATACTTTTAAACAAAGAACAACTAGATAAGTGATAGGAAATAAGGAGGAGAATGAATTAAAAATTATACCAAGGCACTGAAGCTTTTTGTACCTTAGAAAATAATACCGCTGACAGAGATTAGGAATGTGGGAGGAATAGATCATTTGAGAAAGCCCAGTTGGTAATTAAGAGAATCCCAAATTCTGGAACTGGCAAATTCAAGAATAGCCAAAGAGGGAGAGAAGTAGAGTAAACCTAGAGGTTCAATTAATAGTCTTATTAGCTGTGTGAGAGAAAGATGAGAAGACTAATAATCAGGAGACCTGAGGATTACCATTTCAACTCTCCCAACTAACTAGCTATGTGATTTAGGCAAGTCCCTTAACGTTTTTCTGATATTTGAACTTTAGTTTCTTTATTGTATAAAGTAAGAGGGATATATAATCTCAAGCCCAAAATTCTATTATCTTAAGAGACCGGAACACAAACTGGACATCAAGTCTCAGCTGTAATTCCAAATCCTAGAGGAGCAATTTAAGTGCAAATTTAGAGACACAGACTATGTCTACATCAAAGGCCACATATGTCAAGGAATAAAACATTCTAACTAATAACTCTGCCATTCTGATTTTCCCTGTACTTAAATGATGAATTAATTTAATTGAACAAGTCAATGGTTTATGTACAGTTACAAAGAGGTTATCAATGACATATTTTAGAACACATCTTATGACAAAAAGACAAGAGGGTAATATCATCTCAATAGTCTGGCTAACAGCATTTCAAAATGCCTTCCTTACAGCCGTCCTACACTGTACAGAATCTAGTTTTGATTATCCCCATTTAATAGATGATAATGCTAAGGCTCTGAGAGGTTAACTAACCTGCCCAAGGTCATACATCCAGTGGATGATGAAACTACAATGAAAACAGAAAAAGAACAGGGGAAGTACAGAGTGGGAGAAAAGTATTTTAAAAGCCGGATGCAAAAAGGAAAGAAAAGAAAACAATGAGTTACTTTTATTTTTCATGGAATTGATAGTAAAAAATTTTAAAATAAAAATCGAGACTAAAAACTGCAATAAAACAATAGCTTCCAGACACAAGGGAAACGCATACACTTTTTAAAAAATTGAGATGCCACCTGAAATCATAACTGAAAACAATAAGGAAGCCAAAAAAAACATATCATGCTATTCTTCTTACCTTTTCAGTTGCTGAAACAGATGGCTTTGATACAAAACCCAACCTGTCCTTCACAGATAACTTAGTTACATTCTAAAAAAATTAAAATGAACACATTCAGTGTTTCCCCAAGCATACATAATTCTGTTGGGATTTATGAACATTTCGTTTGCCACTGTTTAAAATCTATTAGTCTATACTGAACTTAACTAGTATGTGTGACAATACTAACAATGTTTATGGTGTTTTATTTTGCTTTGTTTTTGTTTTCAGAAGAGAAAGAGTATTTTGGAAGTTTCTAATAAATTGTATGGGAAAAACAACAAAAAAAACCCAGCATGCATTATAATAAACCACTGAGAATTAAAAATATTAAATGAGGAGACTGGATTAGCGAATCTTTTAAGTCACTTGGCTCTAGAAATCTATGGTTTTATGATTCTATGCTGTTAAATTAACTAGCAATTTTTAATTAGTAAATTTTAAAAATTCATAATGTTTAAATATGCTTTAAAACTTAAAAAAAAATTTGTCCCTAGATAAAATATTCTTTTCTTAAACCTATATAAACAGGCTCTGTGTTCAACTGGGAAATTTAATAACTAATTCAGTAATTTGATTAAACATTCAAATTTTCCCCAAAACCCTTTGCTCTGGAGACACAAAAAATGGCTAGTTAAACTAACGTCAGACACTTATTGTATTTTCAGACTATAATATCTTCAATAAATTTAATGGGGTACCATAATATTGACCAATTAGACAATACAAATACTGAACCCTACAGAGAGAGACGTAAGACCAATTACTAGAACTGCAGATAAAAAGAGAATCTGAGACTCTGCATGTATGGGAAAAATTCATATGATCCAGGTTGGGGGCAGGCAGGTAAACAGAGAGATGTCAGAGCAGGAAAGCTGATGCAAAGTTCTGAAAAGGCTAACTGCTATAGTACAAAAGAGATAATGCTACTACTATCTTTAAATCCTCCCTGAAAATTTTTTATTTAACTAGTAAATTTTCAATGATAACACGTGATAAAATTTCAAACTGAATAAGGAAACAGAAATTAACAGAATTTTACTTCCCCGAAAATTTTGAGGATTCTTATAGCCTTAACTTGGATTTTACATGGCAATATTAACCCAAATTGAGAGTTATTACTAGTAGAAAGTTTCTGTGGAAATTCCAAAATACCTGTATTTAATCTGGTTAAAATAAGAATGATAATTAAAAAAAAATAAACAAATTAAAGAACTATCATTTTAATCAATAGGGAATACCTGAGGAATATCTGTACTAGCACTCTGGGCTTCTGCAGGTTCAATATTACTTGAAGGTACTGGACCTAATCGTTCTTTCACAGACTGCTTCACAACAGGTAAACTGGGCTGTTGGACTAAAGGTTGTATAACCTAAAAACAACAAAAAAAGACTGTACATCAGTTAACTGTAAGGTCATCACCACTGAGGTAAAAATGAGAATCACTAAAGCATGCAAAGACTTTCAAATTATCACATACTTAACCACCCTAAAATTTCCGTCATAGTTGTAAATGCTTTTGGAACAAGTCTAAAGTTAAGTAACAAAAATTTTTTTAAATTTGAAGAAAAGTGCCTACAGATCTTTTCCTCTATAACTTTTTTTTCTTTTAAAAGGCTAGGAGAAACTGTGATCTTATCTGGACAAAATTAATCAATAAAGATGAGTTTCCAGAAAATAATTTTTTTAAAAAATATGCCCTCAATATTGATCTTCATGGTACAGACCTATTAAAGAAAAGAAGTCTCCCCTCCACTTGGGTTTCTAGGTACATGCAGAAACTAAACAGCAAACAATTGTTTCACCCATACAGTTTTCCTCTTACTTTCTGGGAAGCTGTTTGCAGTTGCTGGGCAGCCCCCTCTCGGTGCCAATAAACTTTAATAAAACGATTATTCAAAATTGCTTCTGTACTAGAGATTGCTTTTTTTGCTTCTTCATATGTTGCAAACTGGATAAGTGCACCTTCAGGATCACCATGAAAGGCAACCTAAAATGTAAAATGGAAGACAAGGGACATTTTAAATGAATCTCTCTAAACAGCTCACAGTTCAATTGACCAAAAGCTCATTTATCAAGTTCCTACTCTTAGCAAATAATCTAAATGCAAAGGAGACAGAGACAATAACAAATCCATTGTTGTCCTTAAGAAGAAAGGGTAAAACATGTACAAAGATTAGCAAATAACAAAATTAAATACAAAGTAAATTTAAGAAGCAGAGAAAATTAAAAATGAGGGAGATAAAAGGCTTCATGAAGGTGGGACTTTTGAAGAAAGCTAGAGGTCTCTTGAGCTGAAGTGAGGAGGGAGTGTAGTTCAGGAAGGAAGGACAGTCTGTGCAAAGACACACAAGAGAGATGGAACGTCCTGTACACAGACAAACTAGCAAGCTCAGTTCGATTAGAATAAAGAGTATGTGAAAGAGAGTAATACAAAATAAGACTGCAGAGGTAGGAAGGCACTACATTTACTGCATACTTCCTAGCAGTCTACAAATAACCTCCCTCACAAATAACACAATAACACTTAACAATAGGTTAAGTGACAGACCCAATACTTGGATTCATCTTCTGCCTCCAAGTTCAAAGGACAAGATGTCTCCCTTAGTTGTCATAAAAATAAAAACATCAGTGTCTTTCAGATAAGGTTCTTCTTTTAAATTCCTCATATCTAGCTCCAATCTCTCCTCACTACACAGGAGCAACATAATGAAAACCATACTAAGGTATAAGCATGTGAATTTTGCCAAGGCAGATTATGGTAAAAATGTAAATCATTTCATGTGCATACTATCTACCCTCAATTAAGCTTCTCTCAGTGTGACTAAAGATAAGCAATTGGACACTGCAATTATGTCACAAAAAAACTATTTTAATCTTCAAAATTTTGTTTTGGTTGAAATTTGCCTGGAAGCTACAACATGTTAAATAAAAACTCTTTTGAAGGTAGAACACACAAGCAGTTAAAAAAACCTCATATATATATATGTGTGTGTGTGTTCAAATTTGGAGTTGGATATCTATTTTAAATTTGCTAACTGGGAGGAAAATTCAGAAACCAGATATGGAACTCTTCCGGGGAGGGGAGGAAGACAGGACGGGACTGAAATGTTTCAGAGCTTGATGCACTAGCAGGATGTTATAATCCACACACAGGAGCACCTAAAAACTTCATTATCCATAGAGACTCAAGCTTAGACTGTGTGCTAGATCTCCTCGACCACAAGGATACACATCTCTAATGAGGTAAAAAGCCTCATAAAAACAACTCCAAAAAATGGATGATGCTTATGGAAAATGACAAAAGTCTGTCTACAGTTAGCATAAACCGAGGGAAACAAGAAGCATAAACAACCATGGAAAAACTAAATTTGAAAATCTAAATCTTCACTATTGTGAGTGCATTAATTCATGTCCTCTAGGAAAAAATCATCTTACATTTTCATAGTCCTTAATAGCTGATACTTATTCCCTCTATATAATATTCTTTATATATATTTTAAAGGCTTGAAAAGAAGAGGCTGCTTTGAATTGAATTCCCCTCTCTAAACTCATTCACTCCTTCCCCAGGTTTTGGGAGGGGGAGGGAAATAAGTATTTAAATAGCACTTACTATGTGCCAAGCACTGTGCTAAACACTTCATAAACACTCACAGCAACCCCTCAAGATAGATGCTGTCATTGTTCCCATATGACAGATGAGGAAACTGAGGCAAACAGAAGCTGAATGACTTGCCCAGGGTCATATAGCTAGTAACTGTCTGAGACTGAATTTTAACTCAAGTCTTCCTTACTCCAGGTCTAGGGATCCACTGCACGAACTATAAAGTGTCAAAAAAAATTTTTAAGCATACAATATTTTCAAAAGCCAGCCAAGAGATTAAGAAATCAAAGTCTAATGTCAAGTAGCTACAATTATTTTATACTCCCATATATGCCATCTGGTGTTAGCTTAATTAAAATACAAATGTTTTCCACATCTATTTCAAAAGGTGGACATCTATTTCAAAATTAAGTTTTCCTTAGAATTGGTTTAAAAGAGAGGGAGGGTCTGCAAGTATACATTACTACTGGAAAGAACAGAATTAACAGCATAAGGAGGAGGACTGATTTTGGTGAGAAAAAGGACTACCTATTCACCAGAGGCAGGAATTACAAAGAAAATGATGGGTAATACTGAGCGGTTTAGAGGTGTAAAACAGGGAGAGACTTCTGCTTAAAACAGAGAGCTGAATGGTCCTAGAAAAGCCCAGCTCTCCCCAAAATGATCCAGCCAAGATTTGAAAGGGAAATAAATGAAAACAATGAAAAAGACAAAAGTTTTAAAAAACCCAGTAAGTTCCTCCATTCAGTCCAAGACTCGACTAGAATATATCCAGAAGACTGAAAGCAAATTATTTATCTACTTTGTCTCAGTTTCCTTATTCATAAAATCGAGATAATAAAGGCACAGAATAAGCATTTATATAGAGCACAGTATATGCCAGGCACTGTGCTAAGTGCTTCACAAATATTATCACATTTAATAATAGCACCTACCTCACAAGGGTGTTATCCAAAGCAAACGAGTTAACAAATGCAAACCATTTTGCAAACTTTAAAAATGCTATAAGTCAGGAGGACTTGAGTTAAAATCTGTCCTCAGACACTTGACATTTACTAGCTGTGTGATCCTGGGCAAGTCACTTAACTCTGACTGCCTCCCCTCCTCCCCCCAAAAAAAGTACTATATAAATGCTAGCTATTATTAATAGTGTCCCTATTCAAAATATGAAAAAGGAAAGGCAGGTTTTCACAGAAGATTTTTATAGTAGACCAAATCTTCACATTCATAAATTACCTAAGAGATAGAAAACACAAGATCCAACTATGGCCACTGTTTGGTGATTACTAAAAGAACTCAACACAATAGACCACAACATTTTTTCTCAAACAAGATTCCTTGATATTCAGTCTCAGGGTACTTTAACACTTTTTTTTTAATTATAAAGCAAGGAACAACTTAGACATTTTCATCAAAAGTGGTTACCAAATGTATTAAACCAAAGTTCAAATGGAAGTGGGACTTCCTGTAAATGGCAGAAATTCTCCAGAAGTTCTTTTGCAGGTATGTATATGCTAATTACAGTAGTCAGGTCTTCTTCAATAAGTACGATAGCCACTAAAAACAGGTTGGCCTAGGAGCCATTCAGGAAAAACCAAGTGGATGAGTTATATGTATTTGCTTAGAATCAAGCGGTGGTGGTGGTTGTTGTTATTTTAGGCAATGGGGTTAAGTGACTTGCCCAGGTCACACAGCTTCTACTGGCTCATTTATATAAGACCATAAAACTTGTAGGGGGGAAAGGTGACAATGATCTATACGAGCAGATAGCTGAGAGCTGAAAAGAAGGAAGAGAAAAGAACAGATATTATCTAAGAAGTTTTCCATGGTCTCAAGCTACCACCCCAGCAAAAAAAGGTGACACCAAAGTCCCTATTTTCAACACTAATGTTCTCCTAGTGAGATTATATGGCTTTTACACAATGAAATGCAGCAATCTCCAAAGACTGACTCAAACACTTGACTCAAAGGAGAGAAAAGGTACTTCACCACTACTATCTCAACTTCAGGAAATGACATAAAAGACTTCATCAAAGACACATATGTCTAGAAAATAAAAACATTTCTTGGCCTGGTCCAAGATATTCAACCACTACTGGAATCATTTCATCCCTCCTTCTCATCCCTAACTAGTAATGCCTATGGATCCCTCTTGCTCTGATAGGTCAGCTTTTGCCTTATCTTGCACACTCAATAAAGTTCCCAACTCTCTTACCTGCCCCAGCACCCTTTCCCAGTTCTTTTTTGTGTTATCTACCTCCATCAGAATATAAGCTCCTTGAAGGCAGAAACTTTTTTTTGTTTCTATTTGTTTCCTTGGTGCTTAGCACAGTGCCTGGAATATAGTAAGCACTTAATATAGGCTCTGTTGGTCTGTTTGTCTAACAATTGATCTATCTACAGAAGTGATATAATAAAATCAAGGAAAAAAAACCCTCTCAAACAATTGAGTATTGAAGACACAAAATGTCCTAAAGAAAGCCTCCATAAGGCTACATGGATGCACTATGGAGGATTTAATGAACAATCTGGCACAGGAAGAAAAGAATGGGAAAGATGGCAATCTTCACTAATGGAAATTATCAATATCAGTGAGATTACAAATCTATGAGCACAGTTAAGTTGGGCATGATAGTTAAAGACTATGGAATCCTTTTATAGCTCTTACCTGTAAGTTGACCAAAGTTCCAAACCGGCTGAAATGTTCATTAAGTTTGCTGATATTATTCAATTCTGGAGGAACTTTCCTGAGTTCAAGTTTGGTATTTTCATTTCCAAACTGAACTTTCTTCTGAAAACCTGGGCTATTTGTTCTATTAAAGTTTGGCCTATAACAAAATATAAAGTTACTTCATGTGCAAAAAAAAAAAGATTAAAATCCAATTTCATACTCAATGGTGAAATATATGAATTGGTGGTACCAAACCTGCTCACGGGAAGCAATGAAATAAAGAGATTCCTCTCCAACCCTATGTGGGACTGCTGTGACCTTATATTCTATCATTTCCACTGCATTCCTTGGTGTCCGACCCAGGTCCTACCCCCTCATGCTATTAGATCTATTACCTGAACATCTCAGTTCCCTTCTTGTATCTCAATTGGAATATTATCATAATGACTTAGCTTATAATACATTTGGGAAGTGAAATTTTATCCTGGCTAGCTCACTTCCAAAAAGCCAAAAAATAAAAAAATTTCACACACAACATATAATGACTTGCTCAGCCTTGTTCCAACTCTTACTTTCTCTCATCTAGCAAAGCCTAAACCTTGAGCGAAGATGAGATCTCAGAGGCTTCAGGAATACATACTCAGAACAAATTCACTAACAAGAGCTATGGAACTCCACTCAAAAGTCTCAAAAAACCGACATTAAGATGGAGGAAAATAAGATTTGTATCAGCATCATGGCTGCTAGACTAAAGCTGTGAATAGGACCTATATATCTTTTGTCCCAGGTTTCAAAGGAGTTTTTATATCCCTGATGTCAACTATGTAAGCAAAAAAGAAAACATGGAGGGAGAAAAGGCCTCTAAAGCCCTCTGGCTTGATGCTCTGTAGATATACTGCCAATAACAGTTCTTATCCCCAACCCCATCCTGGAAATCCCACCAAAAGGCTCTGGAGACAAATGAGAATCCCAAAACGATTTAAAGGACTAAAGAGCTTGGAATACTGATAGTACTGTAGTTCAGCTACAATATGATTAAAATAGGCCATTATGGACTAGTCTGAGAAACTCACAACCATTTATAACCTTTTTATCCATGTGAAAATGGATTGAGTTCCAAACAAATGATTCACAATAAAAAAAAATGACCTAGAGATTGAATGATTACATAATGTGAAATACTTCATTAAAAAAAAATGCCATGCCTTCAAATAAATACTTTAACAGCCTAAAAGTAGATGGAAAAGTAGTATTCTTCAATATTACCCCCATCGGCTTACTTGTCAAACCAAGTCTTCTTAGCAGGAACTCCAGGTTCCCCTGATCCAATGGTTCTTTTTCTTGACTCTGAATCAACCACTATCCTCATACTGCTTTTATTAGGAGGCTTTTCTGTGGGAAGAGAGTCAGTATCAAATGGCATTTCTTTATCTCATAACTAATTAAACTATTTAAATTCACTTGAAACACGAATAGTGAAAAAACAGGCAAAAGAAAAATAAAGGTAAATAAGCGTATCTTAAAACTGACAGGAATTTACTTATTTCAAGTCAATGGGATATCCCTTAAACTTAAAATTTCCACTAAAACTTGCTAATTTGCAATGCAGAAAAAAACCTCACCCACAAAATTCCATTATATATCAGTAGCATCAAAGTTCCCAAACTTTTCTCTCTTTGGACCACTTCTTTAAGGGAAAATGGCCCAATGATCTGTCTATACCATTGCTTCCTTTTGTTACAACCAAAGGAAAACAAACAAAAATCATTATGGAAAGACAATTTGTAAAAAATATTAAGAGTTCTACTACTGCATAATCTACTGTGATATAATTCAATTTAAATGATTTTGTGTGACTAGAACTTAGAGAATTTGATAAACAATTATGACAAACTTGAAAACACACTACCCTTTAAGAACCAGTGAACAAGCTCCTAAACCTTGTCTCGATTTAACAGGGTTAATGATATTATTTACATTGCAAAAAATCTTTCACGATACAAGTATTTGTGGATTAAAAAGAAAATAGGCTACCCCAAAATAAAGTCCATAGAAATATAAAAAGAAACAAAGGTATTACAAATATACATTCATTACCTTCCTATAATCAATGAGCTTATGCTGATTGTGTGATTATAAAGTAACTGTATTATTGCAACTTATTCCCTTTATCACAAATTAAGTTACATGCACTTTTTATTTTTCATTTGTTTGTTTGTTTTGGCTAGGCAATGGGGTGAAGTGACTTGCCCAAGGACATATAGCTAGTAAGTGCCAATTGTCTGAGGCTGAATTTGAATTCAGGTCCTCCTGACTCCAGGGCCAATGCACTATCCATTGCACCACCCAGCTGCCCCCAAAGTTCTTATATATGTAATTTTTTTGGGGGGGTGAGGAAATTGGGATTAAGTGATTTGCCCAGAGTCACATAGCTAGTGAGTGTTATGTGTCTGAGGCCAAATTTGAACTCAAGTCCTCCTGACTCCAGGGTTGTTGCTCTATCTACTGAACCACCTAGCTGCTCCAGTTATATGCACTTTTAATCCACAAAGAACATAAAGCCATGCGCCTAAAACACTTCCTTGTTTGAGAAAACTAAAATAGGAAATGAGAGAAAATGGCTGTTCTGAAATAATAATCACTAGAAACAAAAATCTCTGGATATATATGACTGACCAAAAATTCAGATTTGCTTCCAATAGAGCATGAAAAATATTTTTAGGTTTTTGCAAGAAAACTTCCCCTTCAAAAAAAATGAACTGTTTTGAAGAAATATGGTGTTCTACATAAAGAATAACAAAACATCTTTAAAAGTTTAAATTATAATCTAGTGAAACATTGTAAAGCAAAACCGTATCTTAGATGTTTCTAAATGGATATATTTAATAATTATTCTTAAAAATATTTTTATGAAATTTTCTAGGATATAGAGATATGTCCTCATAGGAGTGATATGTACATTTCATGGTCTATACTGAAGAACCATGTTTTTAAAACACCAAAAAATGATAATTACAGAAAGAAAAACCAATAAGGTGTTCAAAGATATAAAGTTAGGTAAGGAATGGGGGGAGAGTGTTGTTAAAGAAACAAAAACAATTTTGCCTATATTTTATGATTATTTCTAGGAGAACAACATACTTATCAGGTTATACTGCCACTCAATTATTTCTTATACATTTCCAGGTAGCAGAGCAAAAGAAAACATATTGACAAAAATATTGTTAATATCATCCCAAGATCTGCCTAGTTAGCACCACCTTTAAATACCAACAAGATTTCTAACAGTACTCCCAATATTTCCACATCTGCACATTCATGCTAAGTAAATAAATGAAACTTGTTTTTAAGGTTTTAAAAATTATATAATAGGGGCGGCTAGGTGGCACAGTGTATAGAGCACCTGCCCTGAAGTCAGGAGGACCTTGAGTTCAAATCCGGCCTCAGACTAAACACTTGATACTTACTAGCTGTGTGACCCTGGGCAAGTCACTTAACCCAAATTGCCTTAAAAAAATTTTTTTTGTAATAATATGACCTCAGTAGCAGTGGATAGAGTGCTGGACATAGATCTAAGTCTGAATTCCACCTCAGATACTGGCAAGTCACTCAGCCTTTCAGCCTCAGTTCCTTGTCTGTAAAATGGGGATAATATAGGCACCTAGCTCACAGGATTGCTGTGAGTCAAATAAAGTGCTTTGCAAATATTAAAGTGCTATATAAATCCTGTGAACGAAAGACTTGAGGTGGTCAAACTATCATTGTCGGATAACTAAATGCTCTAAAAAGAAAAGTATCAGACCATAAAAGGAAAAGAATAAATAAATGCAGCTATGCTGCTGCTACTACTACTACAACTATTATTGAACATTCAAGGCAAGTGATCATCCATTCCCTACTTTAAGAACTTCTATGGGGAGAACTCACTACTACAACTCTTGAGGTAACCTATTGTTGTTTATTTGTTTCGGCTAGGCAATGGGGTTAAGTGACGTGCCCAGGGTCACACAGCTAGTTAAGTGTCAAGTGTCTGGTCTGAGACCAGATTTGAACTCAGGTCCTCCTGACCCCAAGGCCGGTATTCTACCACTGTGCTACCTAGCTGCCCCTGAGGTAACCTATTTTTTGGATAGCTACTTGCTAGAAAAATTTCTTTTATGAAGTAGAAATCTGCTCCTCTATAAATTCCATCCATTACTTAGTTCTAACTTTTGAAACTACGCAGATGATAAAAGTACATTCAAAGAAAACCCTTAATTCAATGTGCATAGTGTTTTCTCCACAAAACGAAAAAATTTAAATAGAATGGAAATTATTGAGCAGATAAAACTGCATTGGCAACAATTCCTACAACAATCTAAATTCTTTGAGGACTCCCTCACCCAAAGTATTTAATTACTATTTTTATGGGTAATTATTTCAATTTAACCTATGCTGGCCTAGTCTATTTATGACCACAGTTGAGTAGAGTTCTTGAGAAACATTTTATATATACACACAACCCATAAGGTTCTAACACTTTCCCAACATCTTCTACAATATAGTTGGTAATATGTTTCAATTTAATTTTGTAAATATTCACTATTCACCTGTTAAATATGCTAGAAATTGGAGGGAGATGCAAAAATAAAATAAACTCTTTCCTGACCTTGGGAAGCACACAAACTCTTAGAGATATAATAAATGCACAAATTCTAATATAAAATATAATCTAAGGACATACGAGGTGAAAACAAGAAAGTACTACTTGAACTAGTATGAAAAAGATTGGCTTGTTTTTTGGGGATGGCCATACTATACTTGTCAGATAACTAAATGCTATGATAATAACAACAATAATGATAAGCCTTTCCTGAATACTGCAGCTGCTTGTGCCTCCTGCACAAAATTTTGTGTTGTTCAGTTGTTTCAGTCATGTCTGACACTTCATCACCCCATTTGGGGTTTTCTTGCCATTTCCTTCTCCAGCTCATTTTACAGATGAGGAACTGAGGCAAACAGAGTTAGCTGACTTGCCCAGGGTCACACTGCTAATAAGCATATGAGGCCACATTTGAACTTAGGAAAATGAAGACCTGTGTCTCTAGCAAGAGACTCCTAGGACCAGCACTCTATCTACTGCGCTACCTAGCTACACAAAAGTACTTTGTATTTATTTTTGCATAGCCTCATATTTGTAACCCTGATAGTAAACTCCTTGGGGATAAAAATTCTTATCATTTTTGTCTGAAATGTTTTCTGAATGACTTATTTGGGCCCTCGTTTGAGAACTAAGGATTTTATATTTAAAACCTAAAGCTAATTAGTACCAATTTATAGAAAATATCTGGACAAAAACAGGTAAGAATCCTCACTATAGAAGTAATTTTCCTTTAAAGTACTGAAGGTATTCTGAGGTTGCTATTAAATCTTATAGTTAGCTTCTCCTAACAATGAACAAAGCAGGGGTTTTGCTTAATGTCTTTTGAATTTAATATAATCTAAATAATTAAAATTTCAAAATTTAGAAAGGTAGGCCTATTTTAACTTTTAATAATTAAAAATAATAAATCTGACCTTAAAGACATTGAAATTCTATAGTACATGCACTGTACTTACCATAAAGTCTTCTATACTGTAAGAAGACATAATGTGCTAAGCAGATATAAATTCATCCCACTAAAAATTTTTTCTATTTATTTTTGACTGGAATGCTGTGGTTATAGAAATAATAAAAGATACTATCATAACTAATTTTTATAAAGAATGTAAAATCCAGGTCTATCGCAGAATTTCTGTAATTGACCAGTAACCATCAGTTTCTTTCAGATTTTCTGACTATCCATGCTATATTTAATTAAGTGCAGGACATTTAATTATGTTGGAGTAGCCTAAGATAGGATTCTTTTAATTCTTCCTAATATATCTACAGCCTTCATGTCCCTGAGAAAAAGGTGGTTAGGTATTAGTAGCACTGGATCAGTATTCTAGCTACCTTAAGTACATCTAAATAGAGTAAGATGCTATAATCAAGACACTGTGACAAATGTCCATAAATAATTAACAATTAAATAATAGCTGTCCTATTAAATAAGGTAAAACTTTTGTTTAAGTTGTGAAAATATGAAGAATTTCTACCAAATGATATCTGTCTACTTTGCCCTGACAGGATTTCACAGATTTCCTCATGGTACAGGAAAGGTGATGTGCACACTGGTTCTGGTCAGAGGATCTGGGTTCAAATGTACCATTTACTATCTGTGTGACTGAGGGCAAGTCCCTTAAATCAAATGAATCTAAGTTTCTTCATTTGTAAAATTAGAAGGTTGTGTTGGATGGCCTCTGAGGTCTCTTTTTGCTGTTAAGATCTATGATACTATATGGTAGCAAAAAGACAGGGCAAACAGCTACTG